GTTGCTCCACAAAGCGCTCCTCGGTGTCGGGAGGCTTTCGTTTCGGGCTTCAGGGGGCTTAGGGTTGAGGGTTGATGAGTGGTGTCTAGGGTTTTTCGCGTTAAGTTAAGGGTGGAGGGCTGAGAGAAAGCTTCGGGGTGTAGGGCTTAGAGGTTTCTGAGGCTTTTGGCTCAGAAGTTCCAGGAGTTTCGCGGAGTTCGAGGTTTGGGCTTTGGGTTTGGGAGTTCCGTTTGCAGGTTTATGGCCTGGCTTCAGGGCTTGGGGTTAAGGGTTTGGGGTTTAGGGGAGAAGTAAGGTTTACAGGGCTTGTTTGGGTGTTGCACGTCCTTCTTCAACCTTGAACCCCAAACCCTCAACCGGGAAGTGCTAAGCCTCTAAACCATTGTCGGCCCAAGCCAGCATGGGTCCTGGGTTGTAATTCCACGCAACAGCTATCAGAATATATCCGAGAACCCTGTTCTTGTCACTAAAGTCCCCACCTAAACCTGAAGCCCTAGACCCTCAGCTTAGGGCTCCGTGTTGTTGGGAGCTGGGCAGCGACGAGTTTCCTCTGATGCACCCTTGCCGTGTGGACATAGCATAAGGAATGCTTTGTGATAAGGGTTTGGGGGTATAGTATGTATGCAGTAAGTATACAAGGTCTATGTGGGAAAGCTAGTTGCGGACTATTCCAACCACTATATTCGGGGATATGAAAGAAGCACCGCGGCTGGTCGCAGGCCAGGTGCTTGACGGTTTTCTGAAGAAGCCGGTGTACTAATGTCAGTAGCTGCTGGTATAAGGGGGTATAGACCTGAAGGGTCTGGCCTTGTGTGGTTCCCAGATACCTGAAACTCGGAGATTGAGGTTTGGTCCGTTATCCTGCTACCGCGCATGGGAAGTTTTGAAAACACACCGACTTCGGCAGAGATCTTGTGTCGGCATGTCGAGTTAAGCCATGTCAAGCCCGTTTCACCACGGCACCATGATACAAGTTCATGAGTGATCGTGGAAGCAAGTGCTGAACAAATGCGCTAGTTTTGTTTCGGCGTCCGAAGGGGAGCAGTAGACCGCCGAGTCCTCTCCCTACATAGAACGATGTCTCAGCACTCTGTTGCTCACTAAATGCTGTTCATCCCTCAACCGTGTCCTTGCTCAGGCAGATGCCAGGAAACCAAAACCCGCGAATTATACCAGGCTAAAATTCCAAGTCGCAGGATCTCTTGCTAGAGCCCAACCACACTGCTAAAAGTACGACTGCCATTGCTACCATCTCGAGATTTATAGAATGTTGCATTGGAGAGAGGCCGCTGGCTGAGGGCTGCGGCAGAGGGCACATGACAGGCTAAGGTTGGTGAAGGGTTCTGGTGAATTGTTTACGGTATTGCACCCTTAAGCGGGGGTGGCCGGATTGAAGGCGATTGAGAGTGTGATGGTTCAGTTCAACCTCAACAGTTCTGGCGTTGGGACTTTCGCCTAGTCTAGTCGAAGCCGAAACCCTGAACCGAACAATGCTCAAACGCACCACCACTAGTTCCCAAGACCTCGATGTCTATAAAACCTGTATACCCTCTGCAGTCTACAAACACTCAGACCTTCACATGAGAAATCCCCAAAACCCAACGCTGTACGAAGTCCTCAGCCCATAGACATTGCGACTGTGGTAGTTTCTGTGTTCCCTCTAAGGGCTGAGGATTGGGGCCCAAGGAGGGTGACGGTCTGGCACTTCGGTGTCATGCTAAACTGACCAAGGAGTCCGGGTCGTGAAGCCGTTGAAACTCGAAAAACCCCAAGCACACCAAAGGGTTCAGGGTTTCAAGTTTAGGGCCGGAAAATTTAACACTCAGAACGAGGCTTTGGATGGTATACTGTAGTACAACTTTAAAGGGACCACCAGCAGGTGGTATTTGTAGTTCTGCAGACCCCTTTAAGTTGAGGTTTCCGATGCCCCAGACTGCTTTAGGAGGATTCTCCGAAGCTGAACCCAAAACCCAAGATCTTAAGTCCAAAAAGCCCATAAACCCCGGCCCAAATCCCAAAACCATTCCGGGCCCCCGGATCATTCCAGACCTTCCAAAATCCCTTAATTAAGGAATATCCCTTAAATTATAGTAGGATCCTTAATATGATTTAAGGTATATTCCTTAATTAAGGGATTTTGGAAGGTCTGGGATTCCCGTCCAACCTCGAAACCATCCCCCGGAGCCCTGCTGCGAAATCCTACTCCTACTTGTACGGGAGACACAGGATTCTGGGACGTATAGCTCGCTTTTAGGGTGTAGGGTTTAGGGTTTAGGGGTTTCGCTAGAGTATGTACCCACCCGTACACGTGAAAGCTACAAGTATACTATAGTTATCATAAGGAACCCCCAAACTAGTATAGGCATAGGTACTTATTAAAGGCCCCGAACGTAAGTGCCAGAGGGGTCTCCCTCGCCACCTGCAAGGATCGGAGACCAATGAATGACCAAGGGCACCTGAAGAAACTGACCACGGGGCTCGTTGAGTTTATGCTGGTTTTTTGTTGAGCACCTTTTCCCGTCCGCCTAAAGTCTTAGGAATCAGGAATTCGCTTTATGCTGGTTTAGGGTTTAGGGTTTGGGGGGATTTCGGAGCAAGGCTTTAGAGCTTGGGGCTCAGCATTTAAGTTCAGGGTTTAGGGTTTCAGGCTTTAGGCTTTCGAGCTTTCGAGCTTCGGGTATGGCCACAACCTCGCACACTGCAGAGACCACCGGACGACTATCTTGAAACAGGGATGGGTAAAGTAAAGTGCGGCTACTTCAAACCATCCCGGAATAGGAGATGATTTAGGGCAGCATAACTCAACTTCAGGAGTGTGTGAGAGGCCGCCCTCTCGGGTGTAACGGAGCAGTTTAGGATTTGGGGCTTGGGACCGTGGCCTTTTCTCGCTTTTGTTGAGGGGAGTGAGTGAAAGGCCGAAAGCGATTGCAAGCGTGCGGGCTACTAGTAGCGTCGCTTCACTTCACTCTGGACTAAAGACAAGTTGCTCGCTCGCTCTCCTTCCCTCTCCCTCTTCTTCTCGCTCTCTATCTCTTTCTCGCTCTGGAGTTTGGGCAGTATTTCGGGACTTTCGGATTAGCACAGCATCCGAAACCCTTGAATTCAAGAGCAAATGCATAACAAGATTAATGAGCTGAGCTCCTTTCAGATAGGTTCCGTTTCCCCAAGCTCTCGTATACGAATGCAGGAACTGCCGGAAGTGCTAATTGCAACATTACAAACGTAAACTCCTGTAAATTTCGCCATGAGGCAATGTTTAGAGCAATTTTAGGAGTCAAAGGGCCGTTTATAATCGTAGGGGCACGGGGTTTAGGGTTTTGGGTTTGGGGTTTTTGGGTGTCTTTTTTTAGAGTAATTCGGGCTTGGGGTCTAGAGACCCGACGAGCCCGGCACATGAAGTCTAGGACGACCTTGATCTCCACCCGCGGCATGGCAGGAAAGGCGTCGAAAAGCAAAAAAAAACTAAAGCCTGCCTGGACCCTGAAGAACCTACCTTTTTAGAGCTCCTTCTTATGGGTCCTTAGTATGATTTATTTAAATCCTTGAAAATGTGGTTTTTGTAGAGTCCAGGTAAATCCTGAACCCAAAAGCCCAAACAGTCTTGGAGGCGTCTTCCCGGCGAAACCCAATGAGTTTGGAGCTACGAACCTTGGATACGCTGCTACATAGTCCCTGTACAAGTATACGATACTGTATGTTACCATAAGACCCCCCCCCCCCCCCCCCCCCGCAATCCTCTTCGACTTATTAAGGCCGCTATGAAGAAAACCGCTAGAACTCCCAAACCCCAAACCAGAAAACCGATAAGACCCTGTTAAAAACCTAAGTCGAACTCATGGCCCGATCTCCCTGCCATCCGGAACTCAACCCAAAAACTGACGAAGCCGCTAACCCTAAACCCTAAACCCTAAACCCTAAACCCTAAACCGTGGACAGGACCCGCCTACAACCCAAAAGGAGCTTGCGGGTTTAGGCTGAGGGTTTGAGGTTCCCAGAGACTCCAATATCCCTTAATCAAGGAACATTCCTTAAATGATGGTAGGATCCCTTATATGATTTAAGGTATATTCCTTAATTAAGGGATATTCCTTAAATTATGGTAGGATCCCTTATATGATTTAAGGTATGTTCCTTAATTATAACTAAGGAATATACCTTAAATCATATAAGGGATCCTACCATTATAAGGGATATTGGAGTCTCTGGGTTTTGGGTTTGGGGTTCAGGGTTGGAGCCATCCATCCGAAAATCTCGGCCTCGAGCCGAGAGGCAGAGCCACCGGAGTTTCTCTAGCTTTGGGTTTCGCGCTTTCCAGTGGTTTTTTTTTTAAGTGCAGTAGCCCCTTTCTCCGCATGACAGAGGTTCAGGGTTTAGGGTTTGGGGTGTCAAGTTTGGGGTTTAGAGCTTGATTTTGTAAGTAGGGCGTTAGAGTTCGGGATTAGGGTGTTAAAGATTTCTCTTTGCGAGAGTAAGAATGGAACTGCAAACCTATGCAGAGACGATAAGCCCGAAACCCTGGACGACAGCAACAAAGACCGTTGAACCCCCTAAGCCTGAAACAACCAAGATGCTAAAGCGCTTGAATCTCAAGTTCTTGCCCGCAAAACCCCTAAATTAGATTTAAAGGTCGATCGGGCTTAGGGTTTAGGGTTTGGGGTTTCGGGTCAACGACTCTTATATCGGCTCTCATCTCGGTTCAGGGTTGAGGCTTGCTTCTAGAAAGTGTAGGTTCCTTTTGTGGGTTTAGGGTTGGGGGGCTTAGGATTTAGGGTTTAGGGTTGAGGGAATCCTTAATCAGATTCATACGATTTAGGGTCGAAACTGGGGCTCCACTAAAGGGTCGGAAAAATCAGCTGTGGCATGGTCACCCAGGCCCCTATGTGACACCATAGAAAGCCCTGAGAAAAAAACGCCTTTGTAAAACCCTGTTCTAGACCCTACAGTAAACATGAATTGTAAAAACTGTTCCTGCCACCCTCCCACTTCCACAGCTACAGTGCCTGGACGACCTCCTCCTTCTCCTTGGCTGTTGCGGTGTTCTGTCCTTTTACGGGAACCTTGAAAGGTTCCTTCAAGGTGTCTATACTTAGGTGGTACGGGAGCCTTGAAAGGTTCCTTCAAGGTGGTGGTTGCCAAAATTAGGGTCCCTTTTTGGGTACCCTGAATACTACGTGCCGTATTATGATAGGGACCCAAAAAGGGACCATAATTTTGCCAACCACCTATTTGTGGTTTTCAAGGCTGATGGTGTTTAGCGGGTTCGGGGTGTAGGGCTTTCAGGGTTGAGGGGTCTTCAGGGTTTAGCGGTAGGTGTTGGCGTGCAGCGCTGGAGCTTGAACCTTCGGGGACTAGGGGTTTTGACGCTTAGGCTTCGGGGCTTGGGGGTGTTTCAGGGTTTAGGGTTTAGGGGCTTGGGGTCTTTCAGGGTTTAGGATGGATTCGGGGGCCGGGGGTTTAGGGGATGAGGGGTGCAGGGCTTGCTTGGGAGTCTTGCCGTTTGTGGATTTTGGTGCTTTCGGGTTTGGTGGTGTTAGTGTTCAGGGGATTGTGGAAATGGGGCTGTTGCGGTCTAGAGTCTGGGGTTCAGTGTTCAGCGCGGGGTGTCCTTATCTTCGCATGCCACGGTCTCTGCAGGGTCCGTCATACAAACAACTGCAGCAAAGTACTACTTATACAGCATCAAACGAACCCTAAGTCGCAACAGCGTACGGATGCTCCTACACAATAAACTTTAACTCGCAAAAAGCACTGCAACTGGGAGCTTGGAGTTGGGCAAGGGGTAGGGAAACCCGAAAGACATGGCCGATGTCTGCCGACTTGAAAGGAAAAGCTGGGCTTTCAACGCGTGCATCCCACAGAGGGTTTAGGGTGTGGGGTTGCTGTTAGGGCTTAGGGTTTAGGGTTTAGGGTCCCTGAAATGGCCTTACAAAGGGTACTGTAAGGGTGGCTTCAATTGGCTTGAGGTTCAGAGTTCAGGACTTAGGGTTCAGGTTTCAGAGGAAGTTTGTGAGGCCCAGAAGCCAAGCAGGACCAGATGTTCGCCTGGCAGAGGCGGGCCTCACGAAGGGAGAAGAACGCTTAGAGAAGAATCTAAGAATCCTAATGGGGTTTATGGTCTGGGATGGCTCCTTAAGGAGAGCCCTGATAGCGGATACAACATAGCTCGGCCATATGCTGGTTAGAACCGGATGCTAGCTCCTGCTTGTGATTTGATTCCAGGCTTGCTGCATCAAGGTTTCGGGGTGTGGCGAACACACCACCGACCTTACGCCCAACTGCGGATTTGGAGCTGCGGGCTCAGGTTACGGGGACGTTGAGAGGCTTGTGATGTTCCTGTTTGCATCTAAGGGGCTTGAAGAAGGTCCAGGGCCAAACCCTGCAGTCTAGGGGCCTCACAATAATGGAAGAAACGTGATGCAGGGTTATATGATAGTGTGTTTAAAAGAACTTCTAACGGAATACAAATTCTGGGTTACTTTCGGGCTCTCAATATGAATGCACGGCTTAGGGCTTAGGGTTGACGATGCAAGTATTTGCGGGGCTTACCTCTCAAATGGGTTTTCATTATGGCGTTTAAGGTGTTGCAGTGTGTTATTATCGGGATGTACAAAGTCTGGATCAGGACCCTACTTTCATGGCTCTCGAACGTTGGAAGAGGAACCTTCGGTGGGCGCATGTCTGTGTGCATGTGTAGTTTTGTACATGCATAGCATAGAATAAATGAAGATTACAGGACTTGGTAGGCAAGGTTATCGGCAACCTACCTGGGGTTATAAGTACAAGTAACTGTAAGGTTTCAGCTGCCTGTTCTATCACCCCAGCTACTGAGTCTCATGATCCTTTAACTGGAGTTAAGAGTAACCTAGAAATAAAACGGGTGCCCTTTTTGGTCTAAAGGGGCTTATAAGGGAACCCGACGCCCCCAAAAAGGGAAATAAGGGCCTACTCTAGGTCCTAGTTAAGCATGTTCTGTATCTGGAACGACTCGCCTTGGACGGAAGTTCTCGGAGCACTGGTCGGTTAAGGGTTTGGGGGTTTAAGGTCTAGTGTTCAGGGGCTTAGGGATTTAAGGGTTCGGGGGTTTAGGGGCTCAGGGGTCAGGGGAATTGGGGTTGTGAGTGTAGGGTCCGCGAAAAATTTCAGTCCAAGGGTGGGAACCAAGGATTTGAGGCTTCGGGCTTGGTGGTCAGAGTTTAATCAGGGGTTCTGCTAGAGCACGTGAATCCCTGGAATAGGATTTTGGGTTACATTGTCAACTATTGGTACAAATATAATCGGGAACCCAAAAATACTATTGGTAATTAGTCCGGCCCTCCATTAGGGCTCTAGGTTTCTTTGGCTCTGGGGCGGTAAAAAGGTTTGAGGCTCTGAAATTGTGCCTTCTCTCGCAGCTGCGCGATAGAAAGCTTCCGGAGCTCCTGGCACACGCACAACAACTCTTTCGGCGAGGGCTGGAGCACTTCGGCCAGTACGAGGCCTTCATCACGAGCCGGGGGTACATACTAAGCTACACATGTCGAACAACCCCGAGGAATAGCTTAATGAGTGTTCAACTCACGCTTTTGTACGACAATCAGTGTCGAAGATAACACGCCCGGAATAACGAAGAAAACTGCATCGGGGCTTCCGGTTACAGACATCGCGCTGCATAACAAAAACGTGCCGAAGTTACCACAACTACAAAATCCAAGCTTGAGGCCTTCTGGCACAAGGTTATTGCACGTGCAACCCCGAAATCGAAACATCAAAAATCGAAACCTCTAAAACCCCCAAAACCCCCCCAAAAAAAAACCCTCAAAACCCCCAAAGACCTCAAAACCTTCGAAGACCTCAAAACCCAAGCGCCATCTTGCAGAAGACCGAGAATCACTTTCAGGCCGGAACCTCGTAGGAATCCTTGCAAGGACGTAGAACTCCGCGTCTGCCTGGGTTTAGGGTTTAGGGTTTAGGGTTTAGGGTTTAGGGTTTGGTGGCTGCGGGGGGGGAGCGAATAGGATTTCATACCGTGTCCTGCAGGGTTCTAATGATTTGAGAAGGTTTCTATAAGGTCTCTGTAGGGTCTTTAGAAGGTCGTCATGCGATGCTTTTTTGAGTTTAGGGTTCTTGCACAGGGAAAGCAAAAGGGCAAAGCTTCCGAATGAAACACAAATATTCGACATGCTAAGCTGTGCAAAAATCTGGAATTGGAGAACTGAGAACATGCTGTGGGAATTTGAGTTTACGGTTTCGGGTCTGGGTTCAGAGTCTCCACCTCGTCCCAAGGCCCCGGGCAGCGGGCGAAGCACCAGCCCACGTAGCAGGTGCCGTCCTCAGGCGGTGCCGTTTGGCAATGGGCCGCCCGGCACGCCCGACGGGAGGGCGCGAAGAACCACACCGGAGGCGATGGTGTTAGTTAGGCGGCAGCCGTGCCCGCCCTTCCCCCACCTGGCGCTCGAGGTCTTCCGCCTCCACCAGGAGTCCGCCGTGGCGCCCCACAAGCCCAAGGGTATCTCCTTGTCGAGGAAATCGGCGCCCGGCAGGTTGCGAGGCAGGCGAAAGGCGGCCCACTTCTCCTGCCGTCCTATGGGCGTACCCAGACCTTCCAAAATCCCTTAATTAAGGAATATCCCTTAAAATATAGTAGGATCCTTAATATGATTTAAGGTATATTCCTTAATTAAGGAATTTTGGAAGGTCTGGGTACCGCCCTGGCGCTGGCGATTCTTGGTCCCATACCCCCTCCTGTTCTGGCGGCCGCCCGTGCCGTCGAGGGGCGGAAACTGCCCAGTCGGCGGCGGTGTAAAGCTACGGCCAAACGTCTAATCTCTAAGGATTAAGATTTAGGGTTTAGGGTTTAGGGTTTAGGGTTAGGACCTACACCTAAACCCTAAACTCCACGCCAGTCGAGGTGTAAAGGTTCAGGGTTTTGTGTTTGAAGGCTTGGGCTTTGCCAAGGTTGTGTTGGTGGAGCTCAAAGCCAGCTTCTCTTCTCAGCCACGGGATGAACGACTCCGGACCCCTGTCGAACAAGCCTAAGCCTTGAACTCTAAACTCTAACCCTCAACTCTGATTGCTCATACTCAACCCTAAAACCCCAAACCTTAAACCCTAAACCCGAACCCCCAAACCCTAAACCCTAAACCCGAAACCCCAAACCATAAACCCTAAACCCCAAACCCTAAACCCTGGCCCCAGTCGCTTAAGCGCCGTGGCGGGTCCCGAAACAAACTGAACTCAGCCTTTAAGGTTTAAGGTTTACGGTGTGCACAAAAAACCAAGCTCTTATCAGTTTAGGCTATCTGGTACCGAAGATATCGAGGCTTCATAGGGGAGTTGTGGTAGTTGGAGGTGGAGCCCGAGAGCTCTTGCATCAGGGACACGCTTCGGAAGCGGCGGCGATGGATCTGGCTTCACTTCGGCATCTGACGACGGAGAGAAGGACGCAAGGATAGGACCATTGGGGCCTTTCGGTTTTAAGGTTTGAGAGTTTGGGAATTAGCGTTTAGGGTTGTGTGGTTAACGACATAACACCCCTTTGAGCGTCCCAAACCATGAACCCCAAGAAGCGCCAAGCCCCAAAACCCACACCCGAACGCAGACTCTTCAGATTCAATGGTTTCAGGGCCCTAGAAGATGTCATCAAAATGTTACACGTGTCACGGTAGGTCTATTCGGAATCTGAAGGTCTTTCTTGAAGTCACAGTAGTCCCCAAATACTTCCGCGTTTCCTTGGATCACCGTCAGAAGGTGTTGCAATGTCGACACTCGCACAGGGCGCTTAGCACCGTCCTGTCCTCACAACGAAATACCACCATCCCCTGAACCCCAAAAAAATTGAAACTCTAAACCCTATAAACCCTCTTCTCGCGAAAACTCTGAACCCGAAACCCGAAACCCTAAACCCCGAGCCCTCTTCTCCCGAAAACTCTGAGCCCGAAACCCTAAACCCCAAACCCTGAACCCTAAACCCTCTTCTCCCGAAAGCTCTGAACCCTAAACCCTAAACCCTCTTCTCCCGAAAACTCTGAACCCGAAACCCTAAACCCCGAACCCCAAAAGGTACCTACTACAGGCCCAAGCCTTCTTGGGCTGGGCGCTTCGCGCTTGGAGGCGCCGGGGATCCTGCGGAGGTGGGTTCAGAGATTCAGGAACCTCCAAACCCATAAACCCTACATTAAGGGCTTCAGGCTTTAGGGGTTTTTGTTAAGTGCCATGGCTCTTTCGACTCCGCAGAACGAGTTGAGCCTGCCAGTGAGGCTTACACCGAAAAAGACACGGTTTTAGGGTTTAGGGGTTCGGGGCTTAGGGTTAAAGCTCTAAAACCCAAACCTCGAAGCCTTCTTCACCCTGAACAGCAAATCCCCTGAACCCCACGAACTATATCCTAAACCCAAAACCCCCATACCTTAGAAGCTGCCCCCACCCTGTAATAGTGACTATAAGGATTATACAGGATTATATTAGGGCCCTAATATATTCCTATTATACCTCTATCCCAAAGCCCAAAACCCCGAAACAAAAGCAACCAGAACCTGACCATCCCTGCCCTGCTGAACTCCGTGGCGTGCACGCGGGGGCTCCGCAATAAAGGGGCCTTAAGAATCACAATTCTAAGCACTCTAAGCTGCTACAGCACAATCTCCACAGTTAAAGTGTTTTCTTATTTTAGAAGAGCGTTTATTTCGAAGATTGCGCGTCCACTTTGCACCCCATGGCGTTTCGGACACAGCACAATCTCCATAGCCAAGGTGTTCTCTCAAATTAGAGAAGCGTCCATTTAGAATATTGTGCATCGAACACTTAGAACACTAGCATCTTGTTTTTCGGTGGGGGGTGTATTGTAGAATACTTAGATATGCAGACCTTCATGGTAGATAGAATGACACCGGGGCTTTAAAGAGGGTATGTTACAACTGCCCCAAACCCCCAAGACAACCCCCAAAACTCCATGAAATCCTCGCACAGCCGTAAAATCCCGATGGAAACCGCTATACATCCTCTTGCAATCTCCATGGCATGGCACCCTCGTACAACCCGGCAAACTCGAAAACTTGCGGGGTTCCTGTGAGAGGGGTCGTCGGCGCTGCCCCGAAAGGCGGTGTGGCAGGCACGAGGCCTGCGGCAAAGTTTTGAAGGGTAAAGGGATCCTTTAAGGAATCCTACAAGGGCTCCTTTAAGGGATCCTATAAGGGCTACTATAAGGGGTTCTGTCAGGGCTCCTTTAAGGGATCCTACATCTAACCACTTGGGCCCAAAACCCGGAATCCCGAAGCCCGACCCCCCCCCCGGATCCCTGTAGAAACCTTAGGCCCTGCGCCCTAAACCGACCTGAAAACCTCCGATGCCCCGAAACCCAAATAAACACTGAGCCCTAAACCCAGCACCCTAAACCCTAAACACGTAAACCCTACACCCCCCTAGCCTTCAATCCTGAAGCTCAAAGAGTGCCTGGGACCGGCGTCAACGGCACCGGTGTCAGCGGAGCGGGCGTCAGTGGCGCGACGGTTGTAACGCCATCTGGCGGAGAACTTTGAGGATGTCAAAGTTCAGGGCTTGAGATTTCATGGGTTTTTAGGACTTGGGGTAGTGCTCAGGTATTTGACTCGAGCAATTACACTGAGTGAGTACACAGTACCTCAAACTGCATTTACCCGGAGCAGCGCTAGCTTCGGTCTTTGGGGGTGAAGTTGATCGTGAGGTTGAGGTCTGAAGGGACATTGCATGTGTCGAGGGTTGGTCTGGCGTTCCACTCCTCGTCCTCGTCCTCACTCGCGAAACCTTTATAGTAGAGTAATGTATAGGGAATCCCAGCACTATTTGGCCTTAATCCGGCTTCCAACTTTATGGGGTTTACTGTAGAGCCAGAAGATCTCCACCATACGGAAGCTAGGATACCCAGTAACCTAAGAATAAAAAGGCCTCTCTTTTGGTATTGGGTAGCTTCATAAGGAACCTAGGACTACAAAAAGGGAATAAGGGTACTACTGGGCATCCTAGTCAAGTCTCACAACGCAGCCGCTCCGGCGCTCCGACCTACTGCGCTGCTCCGCATCGGCAGCACGCCGGCAACTGCAGCCACGCGGCGGACGGCCTCAGGAGAACTGAGGGAATTCGGCGTTTAGGGTTTCGGGTTCAGGGCAGGGTTTTGGGCTTAGGGCTTGGGGTTTGGGGTGTAGGGTTTGGTGCGGAGTCGCACTTACAAGGGTTTGGAATTTAGGATTAAGCTTTTTTGCTGTGGAGGGCAGGGGGGTGGGTCGAGGGACATTCTGAGCGTGAAGCTTCGTGATTTCGGGTTTCAAGGTAAGGCTTTCGGTGCTTCAGAGGCCTTCAGAGTTTTGGGTTTAGTGCTCGAGGAAGGTTGGGGTTGGGGCCTTGGGGATGTAATTTCGGGGTTAAAGCTCAGGCTTATGAGGGTCTTATGTATCCACTAGGTGGGTGGTTGTCAAAATTAGGGTCCCTTTTTGGATACCGTAAATATTAGGTGCCGTAATAATTTTTGACAACCACCCCGGTGCAAAACCTAGGAAACCGAGTTTCCCAGCCACTATCCCTAAACCTCCAACCCGCGAACCTTGCTCTCGAACCCCCGAATCGAGAAACCTGAGTCCGACAACCTGAATCGTAAACCGAAAACATACTGGCCCATACATTAGAAGGGGCCCCCACCCTGTAATAGTGGTATAATAGGAATATAAAAGGGCCCTAATATAATCCTTATAGTCATTGTTACAGGGTGGGGGCCCCTTCTAACCGATACATCAATAAGTGCAATAACCTTTCGATTTCAAGGCAAGCATTTGTGTTCATCATCACTCGTGATCCCTGAGCTCTAAAGCTCTTGAAGGAAACTCTGATAGGAACCCGTCTTACCCAGATAGGTACCCTGATAAGAACCTGCACACGAACCTTTATAGGAAAACCACGGACCAGAATCTGACACCTTTTTCCACGCAGAGCGAGAAACTCCCTCGCGTTAGAGGGCAAGCAGAAGAAAAAAGCAGCTCGTGGTAGACCTCTTTACAACGAAGCCCAACATGAGCAAAACAACCTAAAACCCTAAACCCTAAACCCTAAACCCTAAATAACCTAGTACCCTAGCCCAAGGAGGGTCCGGTGAATCATCTGCCAACAGCTAGAAACGCGAAACTCTCCAGCTACAGAAACTATGCTAAGCACTACTGCTGATGGACAAAATCCTGCATGACCCTACAGACTCTAAACTATAGGAACTATGGTTTATTCCTTATAATGGGTAATGCAGGATTTTGTCCATCAACAGTAGGATATTGCATGAAGGTGTTTTTGGTTTTCTGGAAGCTTCGTACGAGGACGTTTCTACTGAGCCGTAGACTGTAGGGCTCCCTACCTAATCCCCAAACACCAAACACCTGAACCCGTAAAGCCCAGAAAGAAAACAGCTACAAAACCCGCATTGGGACCTACAAACCCTAAAAAACATCTGCTAACCCCTGAAAACCCCCCCTTCCTGCTTTGTCAAGTTGCCCTGGCTTGGTGCTGTGCAGCCTCGCAAGCCAGTCCGGCTAGCGAAGGGATTCCAGGTAGCCCGTCAGGCACTGCTTGAGGTTTAGGATAAAGTTCTGGAGCCCAGACGAAAGCTTAGTAATAAATACAAACCTTCCTAAACAAGGAATATACAAGGGATCCTTAAGGCCTTGTCAGGGATCCTGAAGGCTTTGTAGAATCATGGGCTTGCATAAAACGTTTTGGGTGCCGGCCGGGGGGTCTAAACGCCATCAGGGTGAGGTTTAGAGTTGGGGCTCACTGGTTCGTTTTCGATTTTCCGGGCTCTATGGGACTTTCACACAATGGGGACACCTTGTGGACCAGAGGACCCTGACATCAGATACCCTTAACTTCAGAAAGCACCATAATGTCTCAGGGCGGCTGCAAAATCTTTAGCTCTCTTGGCTTTCAATGTGAAGGGAATCAAGGGCAGAGTGTGGCGATCGGGTTGCAAGGGCCTGGGGTTTGGGGGTTCAGGGAGTTATGGCTCAGCGTGTGTTGTCTTGGGTCGACTCAGGCTTTTTACGTTAAACCCTAATCCCTAACCCTATATAACTCTAATGGTCCAAGTACTCTCTACATAAATAAGCACTACTTGGACCCTCAGGGTAAACCATAAAGCCATATATATACCCTAAACCCTTATATACCCCAAACCCTTACCCTAAACCCTAACCCTAAACCCTAAACCCTCGACCCTGAACCGGCCTGCTCCTGCTTCACCAGCTCGAAGAGGAGAGGCGCCTTTGAATGCGTGCGATGGTTAGGGTTTGAGGGGATCTGGGAGTTCCCGAAGATAGTCTATAAGAGGGCTACTATTAAGGTCCTAATATATCTGTATTGTGAATATATTATTCAACTATTACTGAGTTGGGGGCCGAACCCAAGGGACCCTAATATAGTACCCTAAATAGCAGGATCCTTATTATAAGGACCCCCAGAATAAGGTATCCCTAACTTTCGGACACTCCCATCTCGGTGTTAGGTTAAGGGTTTAGGTTCAAGTGCTTAGGGTTCAGGGTGAGGTTGAAGGCTAAGGGTTTAGGGCTTGGGTTTAAGGTTCAAGTGTTTAGGGTTTAGGGGGTTCGGTTTAACGCTTCAAGGGTTTAGGGCAGGGTTTAGGTGCGAGCGTTTAGGGTTCAGGGGTTAGGTTTAAAGCCAAGGGTTTAGGGCTTACTTCAACCTACCAAAACCTACCTTTTTGTAGGCTCTTATAATGAACCCTTGTATGGAATTTATGCAAGGCCCCTACAATAAAGTATGTTCTGGTGGGTTTGAGGTATCGGTTTTGGGGCTCAGGGATTGGCGGCCTCGGCAGCGAGAGCCGGACCCGGCTCGAGCTCCAGCTCCCCTTCGTTGGGGAGCAGAAATGCCTGGAGTCGGCTCGAGAAGTTTGTCTGTGCCTTTCCCTCGTGTGTGCTTCTCTGAATTTAGGGTATGGGGTTTAAGGTTGAGGGTTTAGAGCGTATAGGGCTTTCAAAGGGTCTTGGAGTGTGGATGGCGGATTAGACAGGGCTTGATGTTGGTTTATGGTGGTTTCAGAGGCGCGCTGGGGGGGCTTTATACAGGTTTGGTTTATGCTGCGTGCTGTAGGCGGTCTGTCAAGGGTATCGGGATTTGTGGTGGGTTTTCTTCCTTTCTATCCGAGGCTTCAAAGAATAGCATTCAGGGTTTGTGCTTCTAGGATTTCCTGTATAAACGCCCACTGCGCACTGCACTTGGACCCCAAACCATCTGTTGAAACCCCCGAAACTACTTGGAGGATCATGGGACTTAGTAAGTAAGGTTATAAGTACCTTATTTGGGGTTATAAGTATAGTTACCCTAAATATAACCATAGTTACTAAGTCCCATGATCCTTTAAGTAGCTGCGTGCCTCCAGCTGAAGCAGTGCTCCAGAGGACGCTTTGCTCGGTCGACGCAGCAGAGACGCCTCCAGCTTTAGGACTTTAGATCTCCTTTTGCCGGCACATGAAATCTCCGAACAGCTGAACCTGATGTAACGTAACTTCGGCCAGTTTCTGTCGCCCGAACCCTAAACTCTAAATCCTAGACTTCTACGCTTCACGTCTGAGGCCTCATGCGGTGTGGTTTTGGGGTACCCTTATGAGCCCTAGACCCTAAACTATCCTGTTCTCGTATATGTAAACAGGGACTTATGGGGATAGTCTTGAATAACAACTAAACCTGCATCCTTAGCAGATGCTCAACCCCCGACATTCGTACAAGAACCTCTGCCTCCTTTGGAGAGACTGTGAACTCTAAGTCCTACGTAAACCTAAACCACCTACTGAATAATCAATACAGGGCTTCATGACCCTAAGCAATAAATTTACTAGTTGTTCGGGCCCTAAAGTTGTTCTCCTAAACCCTACAGTAAACCCTCTGCAACTCCTAAGCCCTTTATCCTAAATCCGGAACCCTGAACCCCAATGAGCCCGGTGGATCTTTGATCGGCGATTGAGTTCCTTCCTAAGCAGTTCCTTCCTAAGCTTTTGTTCTTGGATTTTTGGGGTTTCCCGAAGAATCCTAAACCCTGAACCCTAAACCCTAAATCCCAAACCCTACACTCGACAAAGCCTGAGACCGAATCACAAGCTCTTCGAGCCTCACACTGCCGCGCTTCGTCCTCGGAGAAGTCGTGGCAGAACTCCGCAATGCACCTCCGTGGCTTTAGGGGTCAAAACCTTTGGGTTCAGAGAAGCTTGCGGTTAAGTTTCGGGTTCAGGGCCGCTGGGCCGGGTTTCAGGCAGTTTAGGGTTTCCGGGTTAAGGCGAGGGTGCAAGTTCAAGGTCCGAGAATGCTTTGTCTTATATTCCAGGTTGTCTGGCGCAAGTTTCGGCAGGCTGTGCCTTGGAATGGATCTGAGGTTTTGCTTAAGGCTGCGGGGCGAGCCTCATAGCCGATGATCATTACTGTATTGGGTTACGTGCCGCCCCCGCGCTGGAACCGCTGTAAAGCCCAAACACTGGATTGTTTCTGAAAGCTTTGGGAAAGGCACTCCGAAGTATCGTACACCCTGACGCCTACCACGCAAGAAGTCCCGCCGCAGCGAGGGCAAAAGGCCTGGGGAGGGACCCTGAAGCCTTATAGACCCTGGGTTTAGGGTTTAGGGTTTAGGGTTTACCCTCTAACCCGAAACCCCACCACCCTCTACACCCAAAATATGACCAAAAGCCCTACCAGTAGCCCTACTCACGCCTCACCGCCGCGGCAAGTTTCGATCGCGAGGGCACCTGCACCTGAAGACGAATTTTCAAGGCCAAGTTGCTTGAGCTTCCTGGCCTAATTTGCTTTAGGGTTAGGGTGTAGGGCTTAGCGATAGGGTATCGGAAGTATGCTGGAAGCGTTATTCCTATAGCTAGCCAAAAGTACTTGCATCAACGCTCACAGAGGGTTGTACGTTGTATCGTAGAAGGCTTTCATACAACCGAAGATCAAACCAAGCTACTGAGTTGCCAAGGATGCTCGGCTGAGGGAAGCCTGGGTTTACGATATATTCCTCAATGATGAGAACAAGGCTTGTCATAAGGTTTTAAAGGATATCTATCAGGCTTCCATGTAGACTTGGTTTAGGGTTTAGGGTTTAGGGGTTTAGGGTTTAGGGTTTAGGGTACACGGTTTGGTAAGGCAGCCTCCACAATTAGAACGGGGTTTGGGGGTCTCTCGTAGCATCGATCGACGGACTATAGGATGCTGGAGCTGAGACTGCTATGCGGGCATTAATAAGTAGAAGAAGGTTTAGAGATGTATTATACTGGGTTTGTTTAAACTGAAGAACCGTAAGAACAGCCTTACCAGCTGTTAAGGCTTCTATACTGCGTAAGGATTTCAGCATCTCTGCAGCCTGCATGGGCTTTCGGCACACCTTCCTAAGCTTCTCGAACAAGGGTTCTAGGGTTTAGGGTTTTGAAACAGAGGATGTCCGGAAAGCCCCAAGACGTGCCGACAGGTTGGCTAAGAACCCTACCACCTGAAACCTGAATCACCGAAGAGGAAAGCCCGATCCCCCAAGACCACCTTTAAGCGGAGATTCTATCCGCTGTGAACCCTACCAGTATTCGCGGGGCCTTATGAATTAGATTAGGGTTTGGAATCATTCCCCCCGCAGTTTCCCAGTGCCGTCCGAGAGTCACCAGTGTTCGAGGAGAGGTACCGCACCTGTGAAACCCAAGGCTCTCAGCTCAGCTTTTTGCTGGGCCGTTCTCATAGAAACCCTCATCGTCTTCCGTATAGTAACCTTTCAACCTTTATAGTCAGCCGCATAGGAACCCTCTGGCCTGGCCGTAGGATTGCAGGTTTAGGACTGAAAGTGTGTGGCTCAAGTATAGAGACGCAAGAAATGACTCCTTGCAATCCCTATATTCGGAGACCCCTGTCTTCAAAGTCGTGCAAGAGTGGTAGCTCCAACTGTTCTGCACCACCCAGGTCCAATACCCATGGAACTGCACATGATAACAACAATGGCGATAGTCATGCTAGCAACAATCGTGTAAATGTGAACGTTTGCCATAATCGCGACCACCACCATCGTCATCGTCATCATCATTCCGTGGTGGTGGTAGTTGCGGCAGCGGCGGTAGTGATGGCATCTGGAGCCCGAAAGGCAAGACTTACCGCGCTGGGCGTGGCACAGTCGCCCGGAGCCGAGGAAGCACGTCCTGCGACTCTGTAGGGGTAAGGGTTCCCTAGGGTTTTGCGCGTCGTGGGTTTTGCTTGGAGGCTCTTACCCTCTTGACTTACATCCACCACCCATATTCTAAATCCCATCACAGGTCGTCCCAACCCTACTAAGCCGACAGAGGGTTCCAAGGGGCGTCTGGGATTTCGGGCTTTGCCAAACTCTTAACCCAGACCCGAGGCTCCCTTGGTTCTAGAGACATGTTTGCGAATATCATTCCTGAGGGATCCTTCATGTGGGAGGTTGTCAAACTTAGGGTCCCTTTTGGCGTATTATTAGGGACCCAAAAAGGGATCCTAATCTTGACAACCACCCATGTATTGATACTTTAGAATACACCAAATCCTATTCTTGCGAAGAGCAGCCATCCTTTCTGAATTTTACAAGGCCGCTATAACACTGCTAGAGCCCTTTTAAGTAAACCTTATATCGGACCCTTGCAAATACCCACTCGAAACCAAAAGCGCTCTATACTACACGGGTTATGGCGTTGATTACACGCTCAGGCACTCTTCGACTGAACGCTCCCGAAGGGCTCCACCTAGCGATTGAACGACTGGACGCTCAAGAAGCCGGATTCTTCATGGGGTAAGGGGTTTAGGGTTTAGGGGTTTAGGGTTTAGGGTTTAGGCTTCGGGTTTAGGGCCTAACGTTGTGGGTTTAGGGTTCTCGAGCCAGCGCACGCCAAGTTCTAAAACCCCCGATGAGAGAACTCGGTACCCACAAAGCCTTCAGAATACAACCCTTCAAACAGCCAGCACAAAACCCCATCGAACCCTTTAAACATAACACCTTCTGGCTCGGTGAAATGCGAGTTCCCGCCTGGATTGTCGTGGAGGCGTGGCGGCGCGCAGAGCGCACCCAGTCGGCGAAGCTCGCCGTGCCTCTGCGCGGAAAGATTCCGCAGTACCCCCAGGGTTCCTTGAAAGCTATCTGGAAGGGTTCATTCAGGGGCTGAAGGCACCTTTCATTAAAGACTGTGAGCCTTCCTGTAAAGGGTTCCGTAGGGCTTAGGGTCTGAGTGGATCAATGTCGTGGTCAGAAGGGCTTATAGAAATTCAGTCTGCGTTAGGGTCTCAGCTGCAAGGATGCGAATGCCACGCATGGAATCGACCCTGGGATGTAGAGAAGTCAAACAAGGAGCTTTCAGGAACAAGCCTCCCACACCCCTAAACCCTTTGGATTATCAGAAGTGCAGCAGTCTGAGACTGGCTCTGCGATGGTTCTGCACGATGTCTTGCGATCAAAGGCTGGGTAACTTAATTGAGCACAGCGAAGCCTAAATCCCTACATCTTCATCGAGCCTAAAACTGCCCTAAACCCACTACCCCCGAAGCTCAAAAATACACCTTAGCAAAATTGTGCACGCCTGGAGCAGGCAGGGCCGAGAAACCCTCTCACTTTCAAGCAGACGTTTTAGACCTGCAAACTGAGCGGACACCAAGTCCAACGAAAACACAATCATAATTGGTGATGCTACTGACATCTACTAACGGATACTGATACTAGCGACTATACCGGCAACACTGATAGTCACGATAGCAACAACTAGTTACCACAAGACCTACAAGAACAATAAAAACAATAACATTAACATACAATAATACTAACAATAATGACAATAATCAGCATTTCACGACCAGAATAATCATAATCCTAGTATCCCCTCCGGAAAAAAAAAGAAAGACGAAGAAGAAGCAAAGCACCAGGAAAAATCCGGGCCCGCGACCTGCTGCCAGTTCGCCCAGCTTCTCGCGGAGCTGCGAGGGTACCTCGGGAGGGCTTTGCGGGCGCAGGGTTTAGGGGTTTAGGGTTTAGGGCTTAAGGATTTCGAGTTTAAGGGTTTAGGGGTTTAGGGTTTAGGGCTTAGGGATTTCGAGCTTAAGGATTTAGAGTTTAGGGTGTGGACGTTTAGGGTATTGGACTTTAGGGGCTTAGGGTTCTGGGGCTGTGCGGAGTGCACAGGGTGGCTATGGGGCTTATTACTTATGTCTTATGAAGGGCTTTGCGTGGCTCTACCTGAACCCTACAAAACCCACCGGTTCAGGGTTGCCTTTTTGATTTCCGTCCATAGGTCTCGTCTTTGGAGGTTCAAGTGCGGCGTCCATAGGTCTCGCGGCTTGGAGGAACTAGAGAGCTGAGCTGCCAGGCGTGACAACCTCACTCATGCTTCCACTCATGCCGCTGCTGGACTCTGCAGCTTCGAAATCACCCAGAGACTCCAATATCCCTTAATTAAGGAATATACCTTAAATTATAGTAGGGTCCCTAGGATGACTTGAGGAATATTCCTTAATTAAGGGGTATTGGAGTCTCTGGGCAGATCCTTCAGATCTCTCCTCGCGGTGGCCATGACTCGTCTCCAGTGGCAGCATTAAGCTCCGACACAAAGGCCCTCCCCTTGCTGCAGCATGAGCTGGCTGCAGGAAACTCAACGTCAGCTTCAAGTGAAAATTGAAGCACAACTGAACATATGACAAAAGGCCATTTTGCGCTCTGAGCAGTAGAAGGATTCCTGGTGGTATAAAAAGGATTCTTCTTGGTTCCGGGTTTGCAGTTTTGAGCTCTTGAGGCTTAGGGGGGGGGGGGATTTCGAGCCTGCACTGTTTCGAGGACGAAGGGGCTAGGGTTGATTTGGGCCTGGCGTTTCTCTCTAAGGGCTAGTCAGCTCTGCGCTTTTGAATGAAGCTTGCTGTTGGGGGATGCTCCGGGTTTCCAAAGCCTGGAAGCTTTGACTTCTTTCTGCTTTCATGCTTCAGGGTTACTGCTACAGCCCAAAGCCTGAATCCGGAGCCATAATAAACCCTAAACCCCTACGGTAGAAGCCAGAAAGTTGGAACATCATTATCCCCATGCCCTTAAGGTAAAGCATAAGGGATCCTAGCACTAATCCTCCTCAATCCATGTTCCAACTTTCTGGCTTCTACTCTAAATCCCTGTAGGAATTAGGACTGCAGCTTCAGAGATCGAGCTCGGGGGGCAGTGCTGCGGGTAGCGGCCATCTGAACGGATTCTGGATAGAAACGCTCTGGGGTTGAGGGCTCTATAAGAAAACATGTCGGTAGTCTAACCAGTGTTCCACAAAGGTCCATCAAAACCTTACAAACCCCAAAACCCAATACTTCAGTTCACCAATTCCGCCGAAACACTAAACACAGCTAGGGCAGAGACTCCGTATTTGACGCCCCTTCTGGTGTTTGAATTTTGGTGAAGATACTGTTGATGATATAAACCCTGCATTACCTCAAGGACCCTAAACTATGGGAATTATGGTATATTCCTTATAACGGATACTGCAGGATTTATATCATCCTAAACCCTAAACAGTGATACATCCCTTTAAAGGAACCCTAGGCCAACCGTACAAAGCTCCAAGACCTTATTACCGGGCCTCCAGGGCAGCCTCGGGGAGCGGGAAGTCTGCCTGAAGGGTTTACCCAGACCCCCGGGAGGATCCAAAAAGTAGATCCCTTAATGGGGGTTCCTATAAACTACCCTTAGTAGTATAGGGCCCCAAATTAGGGGATCTACTCTGGGTAGGGGATTCGAGATGTTTCGCTGTTTCGGGGCTATGGCTGATGGGCTCAAGGGTTCAGGGGCTTTAGGACTTAAGGTTGTGGGGAAAAAAGTCGAGCTTCACGGATTCGGCGTACTCGGAATCTTCGGCGACAAGCTGCCAAGTTGCGTGGAGCTTCCAAAGCATATTGGGTTCCTTTGGGTTCCGATTCGGGCCGTCTGACTGCAGCTGCTGGGGCTTGAAGCTTCAGAGGATGGTGCAACCGTAGGTTTGGAGGCTCGTGCAGCTTTGCAAATCGGGTCGCGTGTTCAGGGTGCGAAGGTGCTTGTTTGATATGCGGCCCTACGTGAAAAGGCCAAAGTGTTTCGGGTAGTCTGAAAATCTTAATTCGATGGGATAAATACAGTAAATATAGTAACAACCGTAATAAGAGTAACAGTACTAGCAATTTGGGGAATAGTAACACTAATACTGATACTTGACAAAATCAGTGATCTTCGCAGGAGCGGCCATAATAAGAAATCTGTCAGGAAAATCCTTGTCCTCTCGAGTCGTGGGGTTGATCTACGGTGCGGAACCCTGAACTCCAACTTGTTGTTCTTAGGGGTTTAGGTTTAGGGTACGTGATCCCACGACATCCTGAACTGAATCCCGAAGAATGCATCTTCTACACCAGACCCCTCGACACTGGAGCTCGGATGCCGTAAATCCCAACTTATCAGAAGCCCTCAAGAGCAGGCTCTCCCTGTAGCCCCGAAAAGCGACTTTTCGGAACTTCCTTACAACATCCCTGTAAGAAAGCAGGTTCTTGGTGCGACAGACATGCAGGCGCAAGAGCGGGATACTTTATTTAAAGATCCTTGTCATAAACGTTCTTATGCCGGCTTTCAGGCTTTGGTGTTTCGGGCGCCCGAAAACCCTAAGCCCCCATACCCTAGAGGGACGGAGCCTCCCTGTAGCCACGTGCCAGGACGGCCTTCTGGAAGTGAGGATCCTGCGACGTTTTTCGAGGTTCGAGGTTCGGAGCCCGGGGCAAGGGGCTTGGGGTTGGGTTGCGGTTCAAACTTTGGGGGTCCGAGGTCGGGTTTGGGAATTAGGACTGTGTTTTACGGTTGATCGGTGTTTAAGTTTAGGGTTTAAGGCCTCAGTGTGCGCTGCAGCGTCTCCTTTGGGGCATCAACCCTAAACCCCTAAACCCTAAACCCTAAACCCTAAACCCTAAACCCCCTAAACCCTAAACGCTAGGCTTCAGACCTCACGTTCTCGAGGGTCCAGGTAGCCTTTGGGGATTCGTGCCTTCGGCAGCAATGCTTCCGGGTCGATGGCTTTCGTAAAATTCAAATCGAGACTTAAGATGTATAGTGTCGGAAATGGGGTTCCTTTTTTTCAATGTGTCGGAAATGGGGTTCAGGCTCTAGAGTTTAGGATTCAGGATTCAGGAGTTAAGGTGTAGGGCTTAGAGTTTCAAGGTCTGCTATTCTCTGGATTATGCAAGTATGTTATCAAGCCAATGCAACCTTACTTCAGCTCTAGACACCCTGATGTTCCGTCTATGGTCTATATGTAATCATTTCAGAATTGATCAGGAGTTTGATCATGATGGCCGCTATAGTATACTCTAAACAATGAAACTCCGTAGGGTTGAGGATTCACAGTCTAAGGTTTTCAAATAGTTTAGGGTTTAGGAAGGGTTGAAGGCCTTAAGGGTGTTTAGGACGTACGCCGTCAAGGGTCAAGGTTCAGGGTTTGGGGTTGAGCGTGCAGGGTGTAGCGTTGGGTTACCAACAATCGTGAACCGGAAGCCTTAAACCACGAAGACTTCATCCTCCACTTTGCCCTCACCCCTCTACTCTACATGTGAATCGCCGCCGCAGACCGTTGCAGAAATTCATAAGTTCTTCCTGAAGCACCCTAAACCCTAAACCCTAAACCCAAACCCTAAACCCTAAACCCTAACCCTAAACCCAGACTCGAACTTCCACAAAAGCTCAAAAGGTCTCGTAAACCAACTCAAAACCGTGAACCCCCACCTGCCAAAATCCAGCAAGCCCTGGGGTTTTTTTGGGAAGGCATAACAACCACACTTGGAAGTCTATTGAGGTGTTATAGCAACCTCATAGATCCCATACCGTCGCGGAAACCCTGATACGGTTGATATGACCCTAAACTATGGGAATTCTGGTATATTCCTTATTCTGGGTAATGCAGGATTTATATCATCAACCGTATCTCAGCCCTGGGCCTCCATGAGCGTGCGAAGCGGAGCATGCGCCTCCGGTGGACTCTTTGGCACCTTCGGTGGAATCGGAGGGTCGACCTTGCGACTGCGATGGGGCCTTGAATGCGTTTTTGGGGCTTGGGGCTTTTGGGTTTGGGGTTTAAGTTCACAGTTCAGGGTGAGGGATTTCGTTTTTGGGGGGTTTGGGTCATAGGTGCTGTAGGGATTGCAACAATGAGAACAGTACAAGGAACAACAGCACTGACACAACAACAAAAACAATGCCTCAAACCCGAAACCCTAAGGCCCAAACCCAAAACCCGAAACCCCTAAAACCCTAAACCCCTAAAGCCCTGAACCCAAAACCCCTCAAGCTGCCCACGCCTCTTCCTGAGGCGGCGGCCGCGAGGAGGGTCGCGGCGCCTCCTCTTGGGTGGTTGTCAAAATCCGCCGAGGCCACAGGCCCAGGCGTCTTGAGGGTTACCTCAGGTACCTAATCCTCCTCCCTCCCTGCAGTGTGAGCTTGGAGACACCCTGTTTTTGCGTTCGTTTGCCTTCTCTTCATTTTACCTGATTTGTAGGCCTCCCCCCCCCTCCCTCCCTCCAAGCCTCATACGGGACACGCAAAGGTTGGGGTTGAGAGGCCCCCCTAGCATGGTGTATACGACATCCGCTGCCCCCTCGCCCTGGCTACAGAGCCGAGGCGGGCGGCGTAGCGTTAAAATTAAAGAATTGAACTCTCAAGTTACAATAATTTTGGGGTTTCTTTTAGGGGTTCTATAAGGGTTTAGCGCTTAAGGAATTTAACCCAAGTTACCATAATAAGGAAACTACCGTATTGTTTACTATAGATCCATATTATATGGTTAATTACCAGAATAGGGATCTAAAATGATCTAAAGGTTTCCTTATTATGGTAAATGAAATTCGAATCCCTTACTATCCGAAACCCTCTAAAGAAACCCTTAATAGATCCCTATGTTTCTAGTAGCTGACATTTATCTCCTTAAAGGAACCCTTATAGATCCCTATATGTTTTTAGTACCTGAAACCCATCTCCTTTAAAAAACTATAGATCCCTATGTTTCTAGTACCTGAAACCCATCTCCTTTAAAAAAAATATAGATCCCTATGTTTCTAGTACCTGAAACCCATCTCCTTTAAAAAAAACTATAGATCCCTATGTTTCTAGAAACTGAAGTTAGTCTCCTTTGAAAAGGAGGCCAGTCCTCGGTGCCAGGCGGCTCCTCCTCCCCGGAGGAAAACGACCACCCCCGGAGCTCCTTCATGGGCTTAGGACTTGGAGGGGCAGGGGACTTAGTAAGGGCTCTTAAAGGGCTCCTTAAAGGGATCTATAGGGTTCCTTAAAAGGGATCTATGGGGTTTAGGGTTTAGGGACTTAGTAAGTAGCTTATAAGTAGGGTTATTATTGGGGTAACTCCATTTAGGGTACTTATAACTCTACTTATAAGCTACCTACTAAGTCCCCTGCCCTTCCAAGTAGGACTTGGGTAGTTGTCAAAATTATGGTCCGTTTTCGGGGTCCCTGTGATAGTACGGCACCTAATATTTAGAGTACCCCAAAAAGGAACCATAATTTTGACAACTACCCACTTACGGTTGGGGTTGAGGGTTCAGGGTTTATGACGGCTTAGGGTTTAAGGTGTAGGGTTTGGGGTTGGGGTTTAGGGTGAAGGGTTTTCCTGCTTTTTTACGGCGCAGGCCTTGAGGTTCAGGGGCTTCGGCTTAGGGCTTAGCATTTGTTGTTTGGGGTTTGGGGTCTATTCAGCCCTGTAGAAGAGGGCCTGGAGGAGTTCTGAGCTGGTGTTGTATGATTATAAGGTCCCTAAACCCTAAACCCTAAACTTTCCCTAAACCCTAAACCCAAAACCCTAAACCCTAAGGTTTCTTGGGGGCGATTTTCTATCGCTGAGCGTATAATTGTGGTGAAGTTAATAATGAGCGCCGACCTTGACGAAGCACTTACACCTTACTCTGAACCAGTAGAACCTTAAACCCTAGATCTTACCACAACTCTCCAAACCCGAAGCCGCTAAACGATGCACCCCAAACCGTGAGCCCCAAATTTCGTAATCCTAAACCCCCAAAGCCTATACTCCTATGACACCATTATAGAACCCTTGTGAGCTCCCTTTTAAGGCCCTATAGAATTATAGAGCGCTTAGTCATGCAACCCTTACAAAGCTCTTGTAGTACTCCCCTTTCCCCTGAGTCCAGGGTTCAGGGTTTTTAGTTTAGGGGTCTCTGGGAGGTCTTGGTGAAGGCATGCTTTGAAGAAAGTCCTAGATCGTCTTACACATAAGTCCCGAGCATTTATCTACCGCCGAACTTGGCCGTCACGCGGCCCAGCACCCCCAACACCACGATTGTAACGAGCCGCAAATCCCCCCCATCTCGTGAGGTTCGATGAAGCGGGGACACTTAACCCTGAAACCTTGTGGCGCACACAGGTGGCGAGCATTTTGGTTGACGGGGCCTGGTTCTTGGCGACCCTGACCTGAAAGCTATCCAAACCGCCCGAACTTCATGTTGATCAGCCACTGAAGTATACCCAGGCTGATTTCGAACAGTGAAAATTCTTTCCATCTAATGGACACTGTTGAGCCTAATGCATCGGGTCACTGTTTGTACAATGCACGCATGATGACCCTCTGCATCATAGAACAACTTCGGCACTAACCAGGACATCCTGCTGAACTTTATCGCGTTGGCAATTCGATTCGTAGCGATGAACAACCAAATACTGGAACGGTCTCAATCTGTGTCATGCCACTGCAAGTTCCTGCGTCCGAGAGCCGTTCACTTTCCTTCCAAGCTTCGTGAACAACTGGGCAATTCTCTGAACCTTTCTCGAAGGTACATTGGGCGCATATGTGGGATCCTCTTGTTCAGCATGTAAGGTGGCTACGGCACAAGCCCATATGCACAATTGAGAGCAGGAGCAACATCAGAGCAGCGAAGAATCTCAAAAACGCGATGAGGGACCGCTGGCGAGACACATTCAGTTCAGACCCAACTTCGAGACCCACAACAAGAACCTAAAAGCCCAAAGTATTAAACCTAGCTCTAGACTGATCCCCTCGACCAATAAAGCTGTGACTCCTCCACCCTCAAGGCCCAAAAAGTTCTGAAAACCTGAGACCCCCAGCTGCCAAGACGTGAACGCTGAACCCTACTACTACTACTACTACTGCTGCAACTACTCCTGCTCCTACTCCTACTCCTACTACTACTACTACTACTACTACTACTACTACTCCTACTCCTACTCCTACTCCTACTCCTACTCCTACTCCTACTCCTACTCCTACTCCGACTCCTACTACTACTACTACTACTACCACCACTACTACTACTACTACTACTACTACTACGACGACGACGACTCCACCGCAGTGGACTCCAGTCCTCGCGCGTCACGTCGACGGCTGGCGGCCGGCGGGTCCGGCCTCAGCTCGGGGTTCAGGGTTTCAAGGGACTTGGGGTTCAGGGTTTAGGGGTTAGGGATTTTAGGAAGGGGTTAGGGATTTTAAGATTTAGATGAAAAGTTAAAGGTGAGGGATTTTAGGATTTAGATGAAGGGTTAGGGGTTAGGGATTTTAGGATTTAGATGAAGGGTTAGGTGTTAGGGATTTTAGGATTTAGATGAAGGGTTAGGGGTTTGGGAGTTTAGGATTTAGATGAAGGGTTAGGGGTTAGGGATCTTAGGATTTAGATGAAGGGTTAGGGGTTTGGGAGTTTAGGATTTAGATGAAGGGTTAGGGGTTAGGGATGTTAGGATTTAGATGAAGGTTAGGGGTTAGGGATGTTAGGATTTAGATGAAGGGTTAGGGGTTAGGGATTTTAAGATTTAGATGAAAAGTTAAAGGTGAGGGATTTTAGGATTTCGATGAAGGGTTAGGGGTTAGGGATTTTAGGATTTCGATGAAGGGTTAGGGGTTTGGGAGTTTAGGATTTCGATGAAAGGTTAGGGGTTTGGGAGTTTAGGATTTAGATGAAGGGTTAGGGGTTAGGGATCTTAGGATTTAGATGAAGGGTTAGGGGTTTGGGAGTTTAGGATTTAGATGAAGGGTTAGGGGTTAGGGATGTTAGGATTTAGATGAAGGGTTAGGGGTTAGGGATTTTAAGATTTAGATGAAAAGTTAAAGGTGAGGGATTTTAGGATTTAGATGAAGGGTTAGGTGTTAGGGATTTTAGGATTTCGATGAAGGGTTAGGGGTTAGGGATTTTAGGATTTCGATGAAGGGTTAGGGGTTAGGGATTTTAGGATTTCGATGAAGGGTTAGGGGTTAGGGATTTTAGGATTTAGATGAAGGGCTAGGGGTTAGGGATTTTAGGATTTAGATGAAGGGTTAGGGGTTTGGGAGTTTAGGATTTAGATGAAGGGTTAGGGATGTTAGGATTTAGATGAAGGGTTAGGGGTTAGGGATGTTAGGATTTAGATGAAGGGTTAGGGGTTAGGGATTTTAAGATTTAGATGAAAAGTTAAAGGTGAGGGATTTTAGGATTTAGATGAAGGGTTGGGTGTTAGGGAGCTTAGGATTTAGATGAAGGGTTAGGGGTTAGGGATTTTAGGATTTAGATGAAGGGTTAGGGGTTAGGGATTTTAGGATTTAGATGAAGGGTTAAGGGGTTAGGGATTTTAGGATTTAGATGAAGGGTTGGGGGTTAGGGATTTTAGGATTTAGATGGAGAGTTAGGGAATAGGTATTTTAGGATTTAGATGCAGGGTTAGGGGTTAGGTACGACCCATGGCTCAAGGGTTTTAGGGTTCTTTTTGCGTCGAGGACTAGGAGTCTTTGGGGGGCGCTTTACCCCAATATCAAAGTCCAACCAAACCAAGGGCTTACAGCCCTATTTGACCGTTATCTGGTTCAGTAAGCTCTTTCTGCAGCCGACCGATTTCAGTCGCTTCCTTTTCAGCAATCCTGATGCGCTTGTGCTGCTGGGATAGCCTCGAGTGGAGCTTGCAACCTAACCCAAGGCCCTAAACCCTAAACCTTCCTTGGCGCGAGCTGGCAGCTCCGGTTTGCCTCTTGTTGGTGTGGTGGATTATCAACCTTGGCCGCCTTGCTCCAAAGGTCCCAAGCATTGAAAACATGCCTTGTGATTGTGTGGGAACCATTCCTTATGCGGCTCACATGAAGACATGAGGCGTCAACTCTTGCATTCCCTTCAGCTGGAATGGTTAGAAGCATGGGTGCCTAGAATGGGCCCTTGTTCCTGGGTCCGCAAATCCCTAGCGTATGCCCTGCACGTACCCTTGTGTTTGGGGTTTGGGGTTTATGGTTTAGGGTTGCCTGAACCCTCGAGATCCCTGTAAACACAAACTGTGATAATCCTGACACAACCCTCAGTCAGGGTTTGGAGTCTTGGGGCTCGGAATACTAATATTAATGCTGATACTAACACTAATACGACTACGAATACTAATACTAATACTGACCCTTCGGAAAGAAGCTGGGTGTCCTGCTGGCCACAGCAAAATCATAAGCGCCGCCTCAGCAGGGTCGAAGTAGTCGGAGTTTCCGGATGTGGGGCTTAAGCCCTTTCTAAACAAATGGTCGGTGTGCTTTAGATTGGGTTTGAGCACCGCTTTAGTGCTTTGCGGTCCGGGCTTGGATTTCAGGCGCAAGGGTCATTTCCAAACACGCAGCGAGATGTGCAGCATGCTTGGAGTTAAACGGGTAACACGAAGGCTACCAACACTCTGCTACCAGGCTACATGCAAATAGCTTTGGCGCTACAGCGTGCGTAGGAATCTTTCCTGCGTTGGGAATGAGCTCTCGCTCAGCCTGCTGGGACCAATCTGTAGGCCTGTAGGCTATCCACTCCAACCTCAAGTCCTACACGAACCAGGGGTTCTATCACGGGTATCCGCTGAACAAAGCTCCAAGATGAAAACACACGAATGTTCCTACCGAGCCCGATAGACACTCACCGAAAGCCTAACACACACCTACTCCACATCATAACATCCAAACTTCAAACGCTAGAGGCCCCTGCATCCGAGAGCCTCAAAAGCGCAGGCCTCAACCGAACCCCTAACCCACAACTAAAGCCAAACCCCGAAACAGCTCAACCTCACTCTAAAGCGTAACCCCAAATTAACACCTTAAACCTAAAGCCCATGCCCCAAACCCTCAGGGCGGTTAAGAACCTGAGAATGCAACACAACCACGACAAGACTAACAATACGGCCATCATCAGGATAGCGGTAAACATACAATTGACAATAATGTCAGCAGCGAGTAAGCACAGTAACAAGTGCAATAATCGCAACATGAAGGAGAACAAACCGGTCCCCACCTGTGTTTGATTGAACCTGGCGCTTGAAGAACTCCCCTTCCACGAAGATGTCGCCTCAATGAACTATAGGTTGAAATCAGAGCACTAAGCCTCTCCAAAAGGGCGATAGATAGATTGATAGATAGTTAGTCAGATAGATGGATGAACAGATAGATAGACTGGATGGATGTATGGATGGATGCACAGATAGATGGGGATTTAGCGGTTTCGTGTTTATAGAGCTCAGGACTTGAGGCCGCTTAGAGTTTTCAAAAGCAAGGCATGAAGAGTTTTGGAAGATTTGGTAGATGAGGGACTGCTGTTATGAGTACCGGAGACTCCGTATCTCGCAATGAAAGAATATTCCCTAGGATAAAGCAGGGATGCTCACAAGTCCGTAGCTGAGGGAGGGCCGGGCCACAGACGCCGAAGGAATGGCTGGGCAGTAGAATTGAACCCTAAACCCTAAACCCTAAACCCTAAACCCTAAGGGTCTATAATGGTTCTGCAAAGCCAAGAGCCCGCCGAACTCCAAGGACTGAGAGTCTTGAACCCCGGACCCCGGAACCCTACGCCAACCCTGAGCCCCTAACTTACCTTTGGTTAGTAGTGAATGGAGGAATGGGGTACAAGTATAACTACTGTTACTGCCATTCTTCCATTCCCTACTAACCAAAGGCAAGCTAAAGCCCGAAACCCTGGGCCTCGACTCCTACCCCTCAAACCTCACATCCGGCAGGCTAACATCCTAACACCCTGAATCCCCAACCCTGAAACCTTCACTAAACCCTTTTGCAACCAGGTGTCTATAGATATTTATGTGTGTATATATATATGCATACATACATACATACATACGTACGTACATACATACATACATACTCTGTATACATAGTATATATATATATATACCATGCCCTTTTCAGAACAAAAAATACCCAAATCCGATACCCCAAACGCCCGACAGGACCCAGGGACTGTCTTTCCAGCGCTGTGCTCCCCCTGGCTGCACCAGAAGACCCTGCCTTACAGATGCACAGGATTGGAGGAGGACGGTTTGGGGCTTCGGTTTACGGCTTCGAGTTTAGGGTCTGGGCTTTCGCAGGGTTTCAAAAAAGCACGTAAGCAAAAATCAGGACAGGGATATCCCACATAAATCCCCTTATAATGAAGCCCAATAAAGTAGGGATATCCCCATACAATGCTTATGCTAATGTGCTTTTTGGGTCCCTAATTTTGGGGTTTAAGGTTCAGGGCTTAGGGTCAGCAAGGGCTTCAAGAGGGCTTATACGGGGCTTACAAGAGCTTCCTAAACTTAGGAGTACCGTATGTAGTCTGGATTAAGCTACATCATACCCTCACATCCCCGAGACTAACATCCTCGAAGCAAGCAAGCTAAGACAGAGGCCTGAATGGTTGCATAAGGTCTGAGGTTTTCGGGCTTAGCAGTATATTATACCAAAATGATAAGAATAAGGAGCTATACGGAAGAAGAACGTATTCATTGATCTATTGTGCCTCCGACACCCACGTCTTCATGGCCAGGCAGCCCCAAACCGAAAACCAAGCCTCAGACCGCGAATCCCCAAAATGCAGGCTGTACCTTCCAAGGTTCAGGGTTTTGGGCTTAAGTTTAGGGCTAACGGGTTCAGGAACTGGGGGCCAAATGGGGTTTGGGATTTAGGGTTTGGGGGTTTTGGATTTGGGGTTTAGGGCTTAAGGCTTAAGGGCTCTGGGATTTAGGAGCCATGCCAAGCGGCGGGTGGAAGAGGAAGCAACTGGGGCTGTCGTCATTGGCAGCCTCCCTGACAGAGCAAGCATCTGGTTTTGTTGTCCGTTTGGTCAAGTTACGGGGACTGCACAAGATTTCCCTACGGCGTAGGAAGAAGGTTCATTTCAGGCCCGAACCGCCCAAAACCGACGCCCTCGTCACAGGACTGGCCACACATCGAAAAATCACAGCACACAACCCCCCAAAAGAAAACACATGCCCGGATGCCGACAATTTGAAATCCCAAACGCAGGCTCCAATACACGAATCTAGGGGCCTTAACTTAACAAGAAGGTTTTTGGGTAAAATCAGCATCCCTAACGAATGATAATGGCAGCAAGTGTTCTGTTTGGGGCGTACCCACACACCCCAACAGCCCGACACCCTCAGTTCAACTCACTCGGGCTCGGGAGTTTGGTCCCAATCCACGGATTCCCAACACAATATGCGGAGAAACTTCCTAAGCCCAGTCTATGAATAAATTGAAACTCTATTCTTCAGGGTTCCTTCATATAAGTAGACTATACTATACCCCAAAAACCCTCTTCTAATCATGAAGGCCGCAACACTGCCTAGAGGCTGCAATATCCCCTCCCCAAACCCTTGACCTCCAAAACTCTACAGCAACTAATGTCAACTCAAAACCAAACTCCACCATGGAGACGAAGAGCAAGAAGCACAGGAAGAAGAAGAAGAAGAAAAGCAAAGACAAAACAAGGAATTGCGGCGACACATTTAAACCCCAAACTCCTAACCCTGTGATGCAAGATCATAAAGTCCGAAACCCCCAAACCTCACCTCTGAACCCTGAACCCTGTGCCCTAATCCGTAAACCCCCACCCCTAAACCCTAACCCCTGAACCCGAATCCCAGACCCCCCGACCCCTACACCCCGACCCCTAAGCTCTAATCCCCCTAAGGCCAAAATCCGCAAAAAAAAAAAAAAAAACTTAGCGTCTAAAACCCCTAAACCCCTGAACCCTGCAGCCAAAATCCGAAAAGAGGGACAAGCCTCGACCAACTCACCAGGGCCGCATCTGCCGCCAGGCCTCGCTCAAGTTTCGCCTGTATCCTTGGAGGGGGAGGGGGAGGGTTGAGGGGTTTAGGGGCTTAGGGGTTTTGGGGCTTAGGGTTTAGGGGCTTATAGGGGCTTAGGGGTTTGAGGGTTTAGGGGTTTGAGGGTTTAGGGGTTTGAGGGTTTAGGGGTTTAGGGGTTTTCGGGTCCCCGATTAAAAACAAAACTACCCTAGCGGCGACTTGCGCGTCTAAAACCCCATCGACTCCCATCACAAGAACAACAACACAGAACCAAACGACCACACACAAAACCCGAATCGGGGACACCAAGTAAAAGAAAAACAAAAAAAGGCACGCACACTCAATGGCAAAGGCAAGTTGAAAATGGTATTGGTATGAAGTTGTATTTGATAGATATTGGCACATAGAGATTGTATAAAGTTGGTAAAAGATGAGATGTAAAATGTGTAAAGAAGAATAAAAAAAAAACTAATAACGGCGCGGAGGCCCCATGTAAAACTTGGCCTTTGCCTTGGCCCTCGCTTTGGCCTTTGCCGCAGCCAGTCCTGCGGGCTGCGCCTTTGACGCAGCCCTCCGCGCACGTCTAAGTTGATTAAAGATCCGGTTGCGCGGGGCCGGACCGTCGCAGCGGTCGCTGCGGATTTGTTGGCCTGTCGGCAAGCAAGGGCAAGACCCCCAAGCACAGAACCCACGAACCCGAACCACGTCCAATTTGAAACCTCGCGCACGGCAATCCCTTAACCCACAAACCACTCAAAACCCACCAAAACAAAAAACAACAAACCCCGGCAACCCGACAGAAAAACCCCCAAACTCCAAAGACAGGAGGCCAGGCCTCGCGCCATGTTACAAAGGCATCGCGGGCAGAGCCCGCATGGCAGCCACCGCGTATTATACGCCCGCCTGTCGCAAGCCGGCAAAGAAGACAAGACACGCGCAATCAGAGTAACGGCATAACCACAGCCTAAACCAAAGCCCGAAACACGAAGGAACCAAACCCTCGCCTCGCGCGCTTCGTGGGACTTTCGTCCCCGATGCCAGCACCCAGGCTAACCTCAGTTTGCATAACAAACAAAACGAACCACGAAACAAGACAACCCAAACTCGAGGAGCCGGAACCTCGTGGCTGCTGCCGGCCAGTTCCTCACAACCACAAGGCATGTGAAAAAAGAAGCGCAACTCCGAACCCAAAAATCCACAAGCAACAAGACAAGACACAAACGGGACCGGCAACTCCAGGCAGAAGGGAGTTTAGGGGTTTAGGGGTTTAGGGGTTTAGAGGTTTAGGGGTTTAGGGGCTTACGGGTTTAGGGGTTTACGGGTTTAGGGGTTTAGGGGTTTAGGGGTAGGGGTTTCCGGGATTACAATAATTAGAATGGGGGTCGGGTCTATACGGGATCTAGAAAAAATTTGGAGAGGGTACTATAGGGGCCTCAATAATTAGAATAAGGGTTCCTTTAAAGGGGTCGAGATAAGGGTTACTAGAAGGGATCTATAATTATTATTGTACTATAATATAGGGGCATGAATACTTAGAATACGGTTATGGGCTCATTATACTACGATCACAATAAGGAACCACCAAAATAGTGTTGGTGACTATTAAGGCCTCCAAAATAGGGCTTATATAGTGGTTGGGGGCGTTTACGATTTAGGGATTGGGGTGTAGGGATAAGTGTAGAGGGGTTGGGGATTAGGATGTCGGGGTTATGGTATAGGGTTGAGGGTTTAGGGGTTAAGGGTTTAGGGATCGGGGCTTGGGCTTGCGGTTTGGGGCTGCGAATGTTGGGGACTGTCGCAGGCTTCTCAGGTGTCCACTTTTCAGCAGAATCTGATGGCATGTGATGCAGTTTAAGAGAAGTCGTACTGCTGATGGACAAAATCCTGCATGACCCCAAGGACTCTAAACTATGGGAACTATGGTACATTCCTTATAATGCGTAATGCAGGATTTTGCCCATCAACCGTATGTTAAGGTTTCGGTGACTTCAGAGGGCCTGGGGTTCGGGGTTTACGTGGCTTGGGGCTCCCGGAGCTGGGCTTCGGGAGTTGGGTTTAGGGTTTAAGGTTTCGAGTTTGGGGTTCGGGCTGGGGGTCTTATAGACTCTGGACTTCGGAGTTTCCGAAAACAGGGGACCCTATTATAGTATCCGAAATAGTAGGATCCTTATTGTAAGGACCCCAAAATAAGGTACCCCTAATTTTCGGAAACTCCCATTTGAGCATCCAACAACCAAGAGTCGGCTTGGTCGCAAACCCCGTACTTAGCTTAAAGATATCGAAGGTCTGTTGGTGATTTCGGGCTTACATAGTGTCCGGGTGTACAGCAGGGTTAAGGTTCAGGGTTGTTGTCTAGCTCAAGAAATAGAGCACGGTTTGCCGTTTACGCTATCGGTATGACGCTGGGAACATCAGGGCCAGCGAAAGCAGCAGAAAAGCTGCCGGAAAGTCGGGGAGCCTGGTCGGCCGGGACCAGGCCGGAGAAACGGTTGCAGGGAGGTCATGCGACTGTTGCAGAAGGGTGATCCTGACCTGGGTGGTAATCCAGGAGTCCGGCAGGGACGTTAAGGGGTTGGCCCCGGCTGACCACAGAGTTGATATTCGGTGCAAAAATAGTGGAATGGGCATGACCAAAAGGCTGCACTTCCTCCTGAACGGGTGAGTACGGGCATCCAGAGAGGGACGGATTGCAAGGGCTGTGCGCCCCTTTGCAGCGCTGACCCATGAGTCTTGAAGCTCCTCGAGGTTCTTCTGCCACATGTCGCACTTTTTTCGCACTGTGTGGCGCAGGTGAGTGAGGGATGATGCGACCTGTGCTGTCGTTCCGGCGAAGAACGAGCACGAACATGTTGACCGGAAAATCTTGATTTGTCCGTCAGACCCTAAGCAGTACCATCCTAACTCTATTGACACCTGAACTCGAAAGCAAAAGGTGGGATGAGCCCATTCGCCCAGAAGGTCGAGCCCAAAGGCTTGAAGAGCAGACTTCAGTGGCATTGTAGTGTAGATCCCTCGTTAACGTTAGCAGAACCCCCTACACTTAAAGGGATTACAATAAGGATCCTCATAATTACAGTCCCTTAACGAATTGGGATTGAACAATGAAAGTCTACATTTCGCTACCGAAGTTTCTCGCTCTGAAGGAAGATTAAGAATGCTGCTGTTCATATACTATCACCGCACTTGGGTTGTACTTTTAAGCCCTTTCGACTTGCTGACTCTGCACAAGCCAGCCACGTCTCCAAGATACTTAATCTCACTCTAATCTTACTGGACACTCACTACCGACAATGTTCTAGCTGTGCACTGACGTTCTAGAGGACTAGATGAACCGAGGAGTAAAACCGCTTTCTCTATTCCCTGAGGCTCCTCTCTTGATGGCATTCCGAGGCACAAGGGAACCAGGCCGCGCCGGATCACCTTGCCGGACATCCGCAACTCGAGACCCAAACTCGAAGTGAAGAAAGCTGAGCGGTCCCGGAATCACTGTAAACATCGAGAAGACTAAGCGGTTTTGAGCCCTGAGGCCGTATGAACCCTAAACTCTGAACCATGCAATGCGGATTGAGGTTGAGGCAAACTCAACGCTTCTTGAAGTTGAAAACGTCGACCCCTAAATCTCCCAAATCCAATCTCCATCTAGGTCTACGGTATGGGGTTTCGGGCTTAGGGTTTAGGGGTTTACGGCTTTAGGGGTTTAGGGCTTAGGGGGCTTAGGGTCTAGGGATGAGGGTTTCGGGTCTAGGGTCGAAGGTTCAGGGTCTCCTGGGCTCAGGGTTTAGATTCTAAGCTGGTCTGATCATCAGTCGATGGAACCCTACTGTTGATCATAGAAATCCTGCATTACCTTAAGGACTATGGGAACTATGGTATATTCCTTATTATGGGTAATGCAGGATTTATATCATCAACCGTAGGAACTGATTAACAAGCAGGCTTCTACATTACACACCTGCTTTATGCAAGTACAATTACAAGCGTTTTGACGGCGATCCTCATGCTAGCAAAGCTCGAGGAGGCTTTTTATCAGCGGACCATCATAATGAACCTTTGCGGGGTCGCGCCCAGCAATCGGACCGGCTGACAATGCAATTAAGGTTTGGGGTTTAGGGATCGTTGGAGCATTTAACATAACAGGGGCTGCATCCATAGTATGGAAGGGTGGTTGTCCGAAAGGCAGTTTTTCACAAACCATCGGGAATGCTGGAGAGTTCTGAGCAAATAACAGAAACTGTCTGACGGCTGTCTTTGGCGGACAGGTTTTTCAAACACACTAGATAGCTATTGCTGCACAATGTAGAGCTCAAATGCCACAGAGCGCTACAAACGGTGTCCCCCTATAGAATGGCTTAGTACTGTCGAAATCTCAAGGCTTAGCCACCGAAGTCCCATCAATCGTTTCTTAGGGGCTGTTCAGGTCCCTGCCTTCAGGTTTATATAAAGACTGTAGATTCCTCTTATGGCACCTTAGATGTATACCGTCTTTAAGAAGATTATTTATCAGTCAAGTCACAAAGGCGTGAGTCTGGTAGACCTGCTTTGCCTTCTTGACAAAGTCCTGAGTGAATGCTGAAAACTCCCGGCTTTCGTACTTGTGCTGTCATGCTGAACCGTAAACCCTACAATCCCTACAACCTAGGGGTTTCGGGGGCGAGGGTGCTGGGTTTTGTCATCGCAGCACAGCATGCCAACGGCACAACGACAAGGATCAGGCTTCGTTGGCGGAGCTTCACGGGCTGATTGGCTTTGGGCTTGGGCTTTCGGGCTGCAAGGGTTTAGGGCGTGGGCCTTGTCTTGGGGTCTAGACGGTCGCGTGTTTCGGATATTGTCAGAACTCTTTTCAAGAACCTGAGTGCGCCCTTTGCCATGCCTTGCATACAATTTACAATATAGGAGTGCCTGAATGATTAGGATAGGGTTTCGGGACATATTTTAGTGTAACTATATATGCCGGCTTTTGAGGGAGATGGCTAGTCTCCGAAATGATTGGGTGATAGCCTTGTACCCTTACTTCAACCCGAAATCCGCGACCCAAACATTGCAAGCTCCAAACTCTAAACCCTAAACTTAGGCCCTAAACCCTAAGCCGCCACCCTTCGAGCGCCAGCTCCGGTAGCGGCCCAGTGCATGCGTCCTCTCCCGGATGTTTGCACGGAGCCTTTCATGCATCCGCGCCGATGACTTCAACTCCTTAGGGTTGCCTGCATTACTCCGCTCAAGCTCCCCTGCCTGCTCGATCCAGGTCGGCGCCTGTGACGGAAAGGGCAGGAAAGCCATAGCAAGCACGAGCGCCAAGGCAATCCGACCGACGCTGGAGAAGAAAGAGAACGAGCGAGCGAGAAAGAGCGAGAGAGAGAGAGAGCATCGCCAAGATCCCTCCTGGATCTCCCGCTGCAATTTGTCGAGCTTCTTGCCGATCTCCTCCATTTGCTGTTGACCTTGGCTGAGATGTCTCGTGCATGAAGCCTTCCGCGCTAGACCGTCGACTACTAAAGCCTTCTTGCTTGCTGGGAAAGGGTCAATAGCGGCGCCTCTCGAAGGTGACCTGCAATTGCTCGACGCGGCGTTTCTCCTTGCGCCGCTCCTGCGATGCGTGGAAACTCGCCCGACGAGAAACACTGTCGCACCTCACAGAACTTAGACCCTTCTTCTTGCAGCGGCCGCCTTTTTGGCCTGTCTCTCCATTTGCTTGACGGCGTCCTGCAAACGTAAAGTTGCACTTCAATTCAATTCACCGGGGCTGTACATGTCTTCCCTAATCCCGGCCTCCAGTGGGTCGCTGCCGATGCCGCCGGCCCCATTGTCCCCGCCTTCCTCCTACCCGACCTCCTCATCTTCCTCGGCGGGGACTTTCTCCTTCCGCGGCTTCTTGGGCTGCAAAGCGGTAGACAGCAAAGACACGACATTTCAAGGAGCCAGCTGCAAGGGGCCAAGGCGACGACGCGCCTTCTTCTTGGGTTTCTCCTCTCGCTGAATGCGAGCGCGCTTGGGCTTTGGAGCTGCAGCTCCCGCGCCTTGCCGCTCCGCTGGTGCGGCCTGGCCAGCGCGACAAGCAAGACTGCAATCGACAGGAACACCTCTGGCAGAGGACCCAGCCTGAGGCACGCCGACCGGCGGAGTTGGCCCCGCCCCGTTGATCACCGGGGCTGCGGCCTGAAGCAAGGGTGGCGCACGGAAGGCTGGCAACGCGGTCCATGGTGGCTGAATCTCCCAGCACGGCGTGCGCCTGAGCGGCTTCCGGGTCGGCGACGAGAGGCAGCACATCGGCAGCGACCACGGCCTGGATAAGGTTGATCGTGCATTCTACCTGGGATACGTTGCATCGCAGGGTTGCATCTGCGGGCTCCGCTGTCGCCACTGGTGCCTTCAGGGAGCGGTCCGAGTGCTTAAGTATTGTGCCGAAGTCTCCTAACCTGATAACCCTCGACAAGAAGCATCCTCTGGAAGGTGGCGACGCAGCCGGCGGAGCACGCGGCCGTTGACGATGCAGCTTCCCTGGTACTCATCCCGCAGTCAGCAACAAACACTACTAAGCTTTGTCGGGCCTGGAGTGCCATGCTTGTCAAGACGGAGACACCGGAGAAGCAGCGACGAGGAAGCCGGGAGCAAGCTGGAGGAGCGAAAGCGGCTGCGGTGTCGAGTCTGTGTGCGGCTTTCCAAGTTCTCTAACCACATACGCCATCAGTGCCTGCAGCTTCTCTTTTACTCAACAGACCGTGGGCGCTCTAGGTGCGTGCAGAATTCGCGGGCACGGTCTCGGCTGGGTTGCTTCCTTGGATGCAAAGCTTCTAGGCGCAAGAGCTTTAAAGCCCCTTCAAGGAACCCGTCAAGCTACTAAGCTCCCCTCAAGCCTAAACCCTGAACTCTAAACCCTAAACCCTAAGCCCTAAACCCTGAACTCTAAACCCTAAACCCTAAGCCCTAAACCCTGATTATCGGCTGGCCCTAGCTACTCTAAACAGCTCGGCCCAGGGGGCAGTGATCTTCCAGGCGTCTCGCTCTTCCTTCCTTTGGAGGGCTCAGGGCTTCTTCGGGCTTAGGGCTTGGGTTTATGGCATATCGGGGCCTTAATAATTGGAAATTAGAAGAGGGTTTGGGGCATAAAAAAGGATAGGTACAGAAAGGAGCCCCGAAAATTGTATTGCTAATTAGTAGGCCCTTTTGGTTGGGGTGTTGGGAGTTTGGGGTTGTGAGCCGGTTGGTACTGCAAGGGTCTTGGGGTTTAGGGCCGGTTTAGGGCAGCTCCAGGTCTTGAGGCAGCTTAGGGTTTAGGCTTCGGTCTAGTCTCCACTTAGGGTTGAGGGTTCGGGTCAGTTCAGGGTATCGGGTGTAGTGTTTAGGACTTCGGGTCTTTATTTAGGGAGGGTTTAGGGTATAGCAGGATTGAGGAGACTGTTGCTCTCAAGCCCACACCCTGGCTAGCTCTGAAGCCCTCAGCGCTGAACCTGGACGCCAAGACCCAAACATGCCTCGGCAGCCTTACCGACTTGCATTGCTCTTCTATCTGATCTGTTACCAAGACCATTCCTGGTATCAGTATGTCCACTGTCTGCCCTCGTGCTGCGTTTGCTGCAAGATTTGCTATTGCTACCGCAACTATCTTGCTGAAACTAGATCAATATGCTAAGCACTTGTGCTACCATAGCTGACTTTTGCTCCCACTACACTCCTCACTCCCACTCCTCATGCTCCTGCTCCTCCTGTTACCCCTAAACCCTAAACCCGAAACCCTAAACCGTAAACCGCATGAGCTTGAAAGCCCAAAATGCCGACAAGCTGCCTGATGTAGGACGAGATGGAGCCGCCTAAGTAGACCTGAGCCGTGTCCGGGAAGGAAGGGAGGGCTTTCCGAACTCCTTAAAAGGTTCCTTAAAGGGTTCCTTAAAGGGTTCCTTAAAGGACTACTTGAAGAGTTGCATGGGAAGGGATTTTAGGGGTTCTGGCATGGGGTTTAGGACTTGGTGGTCAAGGGTTCAGGGTTTGGGTCTACAGCAAGGTCCGACGTCTGGGCCCCTGCGGTTTCAGAAGTTAGGACTTCGAAACCTCCCAAACCCTAAACCCTAAACCTTAAATCCCAAACCCTGAACCCGAGAGATATCCCCTGCGCTGAGGCCGAGACTAGCTGCCAGTCCGGATAGCTGCGCGCTATCTCTCCTAGGCACGGATCCAATCGACTCCATGGTTGCAGTTTGGGGAAAAGGACGTAGGGTTTAAGCTTTAGGGCTTCCCTCAAGCCCCGAAAAATAAACCCTAAACCCTGAACTCTAAACCCTTCGGGCTTTTTTGGGGTTTGGTTGGGATTTCAAAGCATTGGACTGAGGCCGAAGACTCTGGTAGGGTCTAGGCTTCTGGGCTGCAGGGTATGGGCTTTTGGGGCTCGGTGTTCATGAGTTAGGCTTGGGGTCTCGATGAGTTTAGGGTTTAGGGTTTAGGGTTCAGGAGTGTTTTGTGGCGCCATGCACAAAATAAAGACACCTTTCCCCGGCGGCCTCAGCATCTGCGAAATAAAATACCCATGAACTACCACTTCGAACTGAGCTCTGCTACAGAAGAACAAACCCCACCAAGAAGTTCAATATTGAATAAGTCTGGGCATGTGAAGATTGCTACCCGAAGACCCAGCCCTTGACCGCTTGTATGAACGGCTGTGACCGTAGACCCTAAACGCCCGAAACCCTAAACCGTAAGATCCTGAACTCTAAACCAAAACTCCTTAAACGACTCAGGCCAGCTGCGCATCTCGTCGTTAAAAATCTGCCGCACTTCGTCGGCGCTTGCAAAACCCAGAGCACAGTCCTCAAGAAAGATGAGGGTTGAGAGTTTAGGGTGTGATGTAGGGCTTGCATTAGGGTCTGGTACTCTTTCTCCCCAGGGATTCTATACGAGTGTTTGTGGTTTGGGATAATGCTGCAAGGCTTTATAATATAAGGGTTTTACAGGTCCTGTCTTCAAAACTTGGTGAGACATATGGTGAATGCATTACAAACCACGCTTCATACCCCATTTCACGCAGGGCTTTGCGTTAAGCGCCTTGACAATTTCGGGCTTAGGGGTTCAGGCTGAACCACTACCTCACCCAACCGTAAACTCTAGACCATTAACTCGCCATCACATTCGCTTAAGGTACCTTCAAAACGCAGAAAAATCGATAAACAGGGGCTTAGTTAGCCCCCTGCTCAATGGCACCGATGTTCACTGTTCAAGCCATCTGCGGATGCACACGGCAGACGCCCAAGCCGCGTTTAACTGACAGAGAGAGAGAGAGAGAGAGAGAGAGAGAGAGAGAGAGAGAGAGAGAGAGAGAGAGAGAGAGAGAGAGAGAGAGCAGTAACGACACTAAGAACTGAGGGAACCAATTCTTTGAACCCTGAATCCTAAACCCAAAACCCTAAACCCTGAACCCTGAACCCTACTCGTGACCGGACTGCAACCCTGACAATGCCTCAAACCCTAGAAGCCACAAAGCAAATCACCAAAAAAGAAGCTAAGCCCCAAACCAGAGCCGAGCCCCAACGCAAAGCAAACAACAAAAACCTTAAAGCCCTAAACACCTAAACTCTAAACACCCTAAACCCTAAACCCTAAACCCAGAACCCTAAACCCTAAACCCTAAACCCTAAACCCAGAACCCTAAACCCTAAACCCTAAACCCTAAACCCTAAACGGAAGAAGTTTCGTCTTCGAGCACCAGCGCGTACTCCAAGTCAGGCGACTCCGTGATTTTTCGCAGAATGATCTGCAAAGAAAGCGGCGAGAATCTCTCTGAGGGTTTAGGGCTTAGGGGTTTAGGGGCTTAGGAGTTTTAGGTTTTGGGTTTAGGGATTTAGGGGTTTAGGGAGAATCTCTCCGAGGGTTTAGTTAGGGTTTGAAGATTTAGGATTTTGTTAAAGGTCTCTTTCTGTAGATTTAGGGGTTTAGGGTTTAGGGTTCCCAGGATCTGGGATTTCGGCTCCGGGGTTCTGGCTTTTTCTGTTTTGGCGCGTAGAAGGCGTCTACTGTCAACGGGGAAAAGGAGGGACCCTTAATGGGGACCCCTGGGGACCCTATAATGGGCTATATCATGGGTATATAATAGCTATGTTAAGGGTATATACCTAGGGGTCCTTATTAAGGGTCCCTCCTTTTACCCTTGGATACTGTGTAATTCTTTGTTTTAGGTTCGAGGTTCAAGGGCTTCTCGGCCTTACGATGCATGTATCGTATGTGACGCTTTTCGATTCGTGCATGGCTTGTGACTCACAGGCCCAAAATCTACGGTGTCGGGTTTCTGAAAAGCTGCCTGCAGCAGCCTATCTCAAGAATATGAGTGTAAGCCCTGTCTGCAGCCTTAAGGCTCCAGAAAATCAAACACTTGACCCTCAAGGGCCCCCCTAAACCCTACACCGTAAATTATCTCCCTGACAGCAACGGTCACATTTTGAGCAAACGATCCACCGAACAGAAAGAAACCTCAGATCTGGTGGTGATGACACTCAAGCTCAGATGGGTGGTTGTCAAAACTATGGTCTCTTTTTGGGTCCCTATTATAATGTGGTACCCAAAAAGGGACCTTAATTTTGACAACCACCCAGATGCCAAACTAACTATTCATGTTTCAAGTTTACTGAGAGTATTCCTATCTTAGTCTTATCCTAATACTATCTTGTTAGTTCTTTTCCCAAAGCCCTATGCCCCAGGACACGACCCAAAGCCATCCTAAAACTTCAGCACCTCGCACGGAAATCCCGAAAGCCGAATCGCAGGTCTGTCTAGAAACCCTGTACAGCAGGGAGTAAACCAAAACACCTAAACCCCCTCCCCCTCCAAAACCCTAAACCCTAAACCCTTCAAAAACTATTTGCACGAGTTCTTTTGCCCCCTTCAGAACCCTAAACCCTAAACCAAAAAATAAGTTAAAGACTTCTTGCGGAACGAAAACCAGAGCCCCTGAAATCATCGGCCTGGTGGGAGAGGCTGCCTCGGTGGGGAGCCGAAGGGGGGAACTTGGGAGCAGGCCTCTACGGGACGTAGTGACTTAGGGCTCCTCAAAGGGGGGGTATAATTTCGGGTACTATGTTACTATGTTAGGGTACTATATTGGGGTAAGGGTTATCTTGGGGTAAGGATCCTAGTACTTAGGGTACTATATTAGGGTGGGCTACATCAATATTCCCCTCGGCCTCGGCTGAAGGTCACAAGTTCCCACAAGATTCCCCCTTTTTCCGCCTCTCGCAGGATTTCGCCTTCAAATCTCCATCCCCCCCCGTCCCCACACTAAAACCCCCAAAACACACCAAAGACCCCAAACCCGAATCCCTCAAGCCTAAACGCCACAACCACGCTTTGTCAGGCCCCAGGTACAGCCCACGGCGCCCCAAAGCTCATGCCCTTGCTCTGTCAGAGCTGAGGCCTGCGATGTTGCCGAGGTTTCGGGTTCAGGCTTTGGGCGCTCAGGATTTGAGGGTTTTGGAGTTTGAGGGTTTCGGTCTTGCAGAGCTGTGTGTGTGTGTGTGTGTGTGTCTCTGTGTGTGTGTGTGTGCGCGTGTGTACGAAAAGAAGCTTTGGGCAGGGCCCATATATACATATATATATGTATATATACACACACACGTATGTATGCATGCACGCACGCCGCATGCATACATGCATGTGTATATATGTATATATGTGTGTATGTATGTATGTAAGTATGTATGTAAGTATGTATGTATGTATGTATGTATGTATATATGTATATATGTATGTATGTATGTATGTAGAGAGAGAGAGAGAGAGAGAGAGAGAGAGAGAGAGAGAGAGAGACCCTGGAGCTGACGGTGTCAGCAAATCCTCTACAGGACGCCTTTTAGGGATTGGGGTTTAGGGTTTAGACTTTGGGGTCTACCGGTTGGGGTTTAGGGTTTAGAGTTTTAGGGTTTAGAGTTTAGGTTTAGGGCTTTGAAGCTTCAGGGTTTTATTCAGCCCGCTGATGTGGACCCAGAGTTGTGGGATCCTCAGTATAAGAGCCCCTACATGGAGAAGTTCTCTGAAGACCGCCTTCAACAGACGCCCCATCCAAAAAAAAGGAAGCCGAAGAAAGTAAGCCAATGGAAACGATTAACCCGACTAAAGACTAGCCTTACATCCGAAAACTGTGAATAGCTTAAACCACGTTTAAAATCCTAAACCCAAAGTTTTCAAGAATACCTTGAGCCGGTGTTGGGCCATCTGCAGCAGCTGTTCGCACTGGCGGCCGTCCCTTGCGGATATTCGGGCTTGACTTGCTTGGAGTTTAGGGCTGATGGCTTAGGATGGTTTGTTTAAGAAGAATGTGACGGTCCTTCACACACAGGCTCCGGACCACCTCTCAAGAGGTGGTCTGGAGGTTGAGGGTTTGGGGTGTAATTGAAGGAAGCAGTCATAAAAGTGGAGCCGCTGCTGGAAAAGCGTGAGTGCGGCAGCTAAGACGAAGCTTTACCGCCAAAGCACGAAGCGTTGACACAACTTAAACTTGAACCTATCGCCTATGTCACCTGCAGCACGTGGTGAGACACCCCAACACCCGATATCCAAGACCCCAACCTCACCCCGCAAACCCAAAAGCCTTGCGCTTGAGACCTCCGAACCCACATCCTAAATCCAAAACTAAGCCCCAAACCAGTACTCCAGACCCTAAACTCCTCAACCCTGCAGCTCTACATAGCCCTACCAAATCAATTTCCGTCAAGCAGTCGCCTCTCGAAGCGGGTGCGCCAAGTCCGGCTCCTACCAGGCACCGACCAAACGTGCAAAGGTCTGTGTTCTGTCACCTATCTATCTATCCATCGCTCTCTCCTCTCTCCTCTCTCCTCTCTCCTCTCTCCTCTCTCCCTCTCTCTCTCTCTCTCTCTCTCTCTGACTGCCTGTCTGTCTTTCTATCCGTCTATCTCCCGATCTTTCTATCTCTCTATCTCTATATCTCTACACTCCTTAATTCCCATATTCCTAGCTATCTCTCTCTCTCTCTCTCTCCCTCTCTCTCTCTCTCTCTCTCTCTCTCTCTCTCTCTCTCTCTCTCTCTCTCTCTCTCTCTCTCTCTCTCTCTCTCTCTCTCTCTCTCTCTTCCTCTCTAGCTATCTATCTAACTAGTCATCTAACTATCTAGCAACTATCTAACCGTCTACCTATATAACTATCTAACTATCTAACTATCTATTTGTCTAACTATCTAACCACCTACCTATCTATCGATCTACCCACGTGTCTGACTATCCTTTTGATTGTCTATCTATCTATCTATCTATCTAGCTAGCTAGCTAGCTAGCTAGCGAGCTGTCCGTCTATCTGCCCATCTATCTACCTACTATGAACACATCATACAGGCTGATTCATACGAAGCAGGAGTTCTTCTATTCGCTGATCTTACTAGCTAGATAGCTTAGCCAGCCGGCTAGCTGGTCACTAGCTGGCTGGTTTCTACTTGGTTCGCTAGTGCTCGAGAAGGTTGGACAAACCCTTCGTTCCCGGATCAACGCAGCCCTAAATCCTCTGTACAAAAAAGGTAAACAAATCCCAGTGAACAAAGTCTTTGGAAGACCTCGTGCTGCAAGAATCCTCCAAATCCTAGAATTAGAAGGTCCAGAAAGCCCCTGCACAACCTTCAGAACCATTGCAGCCGCCCTGTGAGAACTGGTCGATCAATCGTGCTGCAAAGCCTTCAAAACCTACACCCTAAACCCTAAGCCCTAAATCCTGAACCCAAAACCCTAAAGCGTAAACCCTCTTCGATCCCCGGGGGGAGGGCTCCTTATCGCCTGGAAACCTCGCGGCTTCACCGCGCTGCCGATGAGGCGAAGCCGGCTACGCTCATGCTCCCTGGCCCCGGGGGGGGCTCGGAGGACGGAGTTGGAGGTAAGGAGTTAGGGGGTGTAAGGGGTTTAGGGTTTAGGGGTTTAGGGTTTAGGGGTTTAGGGTTTAGGGGTTCAGGGTTTAGGGGTTAGGTTTTTGGGGTTTAGCTGGGGGTTTAGGGATTTAGGTTCTGGTGTTTGGGTTTCACGGTTTCGGGCTTACGGGGAGCTTTGAGTCAAGATTTGCGGACATTTTTGCTGGTGTCTACAGGGATCAAAACGAGTGTCGAGTTTTGGGTTTAGGTCTTAGGGGTTTCGAGGGTTTCGGGCTGGGAATGGCAGACTGAACACATGTTCCTGGACGTCTCGTGACATTATGTCGGGGTACTGACACCGCCTAGCGACTACGACGAATGTCTCGAATTCGGAGCCCCTAAGAGCCACTCAGGACGGTAGGCGTAGCTCAGTTCGAGATGCAACAGATTGCATGACCTGTCGTCTGGAGTGCTGGCTGCCGATACATCGGCCTTAATGCTTGGAATACGTTGAATACGGCTTTGGGGTATAGCTCAACCGTACTATACAGGCCACATAGGGGCTACAAGGGGATGTTCTTTCGAAAGGCTCAGACCCGCATAAAATGTCGCTCAGTTAAAGCGCTGGGGCTCTGCTTAAGCCCGAACCCCGAAATCCCCTCACCTACACCCCTCAACCCAAACCCTAAACCCCGACCCCAAACCCTAAACCCCTAAACCCTAAACCTAAACCCCTAGCCCCTAAACCCTTAACCCCTGCACCCCCTAGCTCGTTACCTCCAACCCCAAAACCTCTCAGCCGAGGCGCCTCTGCGTCGGGACCAACTCTAAGTGTGCACCCGGCTGCGCTGCCAGGGCACGTCCATCCACTGCCTTGTGGGTTTAGGGTTTGGGGCTTAGGGGTATCAGAACAGTTCTGAATGCACGGGTTTCACGAAGGTGTTTATTCAGAGTCAGTGCCGGTTCCACTACCACTACCACTACTACTACTGCTACTACTACTACTACTACTACGACTACCACTACCACTACCACTACCACTACCACTACTACTACTACTACTACTACTACTACTACTACTACTACTACTACTACTACTACTACTACTACGACTACTACGACTTCGACTTTCGTGGGTCTGCACTCGCCGCTTATGTTTCCAGCCCACCTGCTCAAAGCCCCAAAAGCCGAGGCAATGAATCCAAAACTCCCTGGGTTTGGGGTTGACGGTTTCGGGTTAGGGTTTCGGGTTTATGGGTTTAGGGTTAAGGGTTCAGATGCGACGAGGGGTGATGGTGCTGGCAAAATCAGGGGGGCTTGACTCCTCATCAGTTCAAGAATCATATTATGGACAAATACTGACAGCACTGCAATTGTAAAATCAATAGCAGACAGACCCGAACCACACAGAGGCACTGGTAGCTGAGACCTCTCACTAAGCTACAACAACCTGCACTAGCACACCAGGTCCAAACGCCTCAAGCGTCCTACACCGCACGCCCTGGAACCCAAATCGAAACAAATTCGCAAGCCTACTCCCCAAACCCGAAACAGCCCTAAACTCAAATCACGAAGCCCGAAATAAAACTACAACTCCCCAAAGGACCAGAGCTCTGGGCCTCAATGATCTCGTACTCCAGCTGCAGATCTCTGCACAGGGCCTCGCTTTAGGGTCTAGGGTGTTGTCGGGTGTAGGGTTTAGGGCTTTGGGTGTTGGGTGTAGGGTCTAGGGTTAAGGATTTTGAGTGCACTTTCAGCACACAAGGAGGCTCCATAAAGCCTAAATCCAGAACAGAAATAAGCATCGTAGCATGGTTATGTAGGGGAAATATGTTGCATCGCAGGGCAATGTACTAATGTCACCAGCACTTGCACCATCACGCTTTCTCGCCCACTAAAACGGCCGGTGTCTGTCACTGCTACGGCCTGTTGCCGCCGGTGCTCGACAATCCTGCATTCTCCTGAAGTCCACTGCCATTGATTCTTCTGCGCACATGCACGGCCGTCGTACGTTCGAACCTTCCAAGGCGGTCCCAAGCACCAGGTCACCATGCCGACATGCTATTGTAGGTGATTCAGGTGGTGCCTGGCAGACAGTGATGCCAGCCTAAACCATTAGGCTTTCACTACGCCCCGTGCGTTTACTCTTGAGAACCCTTCTGGGTCGAAACCCTAGACGCTTAACCCTAAACCTCCAAACACTAAACCCCTACTTACAAACCCAAGCCCCAAACCCCCAACCGTAAACCCTCATTCTTAAACCCCCAAACCCTCAACCCTGGACTGTCCAGGGAGTTCGGCGTCTGGGCCTGAGATGAGCCTGCTTGCGCCTAGGTCTTATATGGTCTTATGATTGACATGGGGCGAGCTTTAGTAACCATTCTGGCGTCTTCTAAATGAAGGGTTTTATAGCATGTCAGGGTAGGCATATGTCTTAGGATATTATATGGTGTATTTAAGGCTTGTAAGGTTTAGGAAGCTACGCTATCTGTTTGGGCACAGCCTTTAGCTCCTGGACTTTCGGGTTTCGAGTTTGGGGTTCCAGATTGCTCCTGTTCCCTCACCCTTCCAATCCCCAGACCCAAGACTTAGAAACCTAAACATTAGGCACGGCCCCCATACAGTAAGAGTCTATAATAGGGCTACTATTAAGGTCCCAGTATATCTAAAGTATGAATATGATGTTTCTTCAACTCTTAGTGGGGGCCGTACCCAACCTAAACACCGTAGACGCCTTGATATCCCGAGGTCCGTCTGAACCCCAAAAGCCCGCAAAAAACCTTTAAAACTTCAGAACCCTACACAACAAAGCCTAAAGCCCTAAACAACTTAAAGGAGCCATTCCAAGAACTTATATCAAAACCGTTTACAGGAACCCTAACACTGTCCTAGACCCCAAGTGCCCTCTAATATACCCCATAACTATTATTAGGGACCATAAGGCTCCATTAAAGCGCTCTTCTATTCTAAACCCTAAAGGCCCTACATAAATCCTAAACCCTAAACCGTAAACCCCTAAACCCTGGCCCTAGACGTTAAACCTTGGGGGTTCCTGCGGTTGATGATATATATCCTGCATTACCTTAAGGACCCTAAACTATGGGAATTATGGTACATTCCTCATTATGGGTAATGCAGGATTTATATCATCAACCGTGGGTGAGAGCAGCCCCGAAAAGGCGCGAGGCCTCGATCGAGGCTCGCCTGTCGGGGCGTCGGGCGAGGTTTATGACCTGAGCAAGCTAGGGGTTTAAGTTTTAGGTGTTTTAGGGTTTAGGGTTTTAGGGTTGTAAAGGGTTTTAGGGTTTTAAAGGGTTTTAGGGTTTAGGGTTTAGGTAGACCCTTGGCTACACAAAAAATCTTCCTCAAAATTGATGATACCAGGGTTTAGGGTTTAGGGAGGGTTTAGGGCTGACCTCTAACATAAATATCTTCCTCAGAAGGGATGATATGCTTACCTGGACCCTAAAGAACCCACCGTTCTAGGGCTCCCCATTATGATTTCCTCATATAAGTCCTTAAAAGGTAAGTTCTTCGGGATTAATATAGGTATTAGAATATAGATGGAAATATTTGGCGTTCAACCAAAGGGGTTGTTAACCCACATTCTTCACTACTTCTTGGGTCAATCCCCTTTACGGCAGCCGTCCCTTGAAAAGGAAATACAGGGGCCATAGTGCACGGATGCTGATAGTTGATGTAATGGGAGATCCCCTGTTTTACTTCTGTAACTCAACCAAGGAGCCCCAATAAATAGTATTGCCAATAATTTCCCACCCTGGTATTAGTTTCTGCTCCAAGCTGCGAACGTCTTCAACCCAGGGCCTAGCTGAGGCACATTCGCCAAGCCGGCCTGTACTTTTTGGAACAGCAGCGATGTTTTTGGCTTTAAGTTGGGTGACAGCCTTCTTTGTTCGTTGAGCGATGATGTCTAGGGTCTGGGTTTTGGGTCTCAGTTTAGTTTCGGGTTTAGGATACGTGTTCGGGGATTTGTGGCTGAGGGGTCCAATCGGAAAGCTTTGGGGGCTTGAGGATGGGGCTTTGGTCTAAGGGTGTTATATTATAATATGCCATTATATTGATACACTCACTACAATACAGAAGATATACTATACTTCCTTTAATAGACTATATGATGTACCATAATGGACTACATGATTTTTGCACTTTGCGCTGCCGGTGACAACGGCTTAACTTTACGGTTCACGTACTCAGCACTTCAATTTTCGGCTTTGTCTGGTGGTTAAGCATTTCCTTAACCCGGAATGACCTACCTTTTTAAGGACTTTCATAAGGAATTAATAACAAGGAACACCAAAAAAAGTAGGTTATTCAGTGTTAAGCGTTCAGGTCTAGGTATGCATGGGCTCAGGGTCCAGCATGCCGAATCCTTGCCACCTCGTGGGGCATCGGCTGGGGGGGGTGAAGAGAACTGGCTGCAAAATGAAACTTGGGTGGTTGTCAAGAGTATGGCCCCTTTTTTGGGTCCCTGATATAATACGGCACCTAACATTTAGGGTACCCAAAAAGGGGCCGTAATCTTGACAACTACCCACTTCAGGAATGTCAGGCCTTGGGAAGTCGAGCGGTAAGGCCCAGGGCTCCAATCGAAACTTTCGCGGTGGGAGGGGGGGTTGCTATCTGCATTCTGCTTGCCCGCAACCTCCATGAACCCTAAACCCTAAACCCTAAACCCTGAAGGAAGGAATATACATTCAATGATAGTTGAAGGCTCCTTTGTCTGATTCGTGAGGCATACTTGGACAAGATGTATGATGATGCATACGACTTCACCAGTATATACTAGAATATACTTTGATATAACGTGCTATAGTCTACGGTATTATGATATAACCGTTATATTGATCCCACTACAATACAGAAGATATACTCTACTTCCTTTGATAGACTATATGATGTACCATAATGATTTCTGCAGGCCTGGTCGTTGTGGGCTGCAACCAAATGCTCCTCCGCAGCTTCTGCCGGCTGCTGGGCAACGGCGTGCCAAGACTGCACGTGAAAAGAGGTGCCCTAAACACTTAACCCTACGCCCGAAACTATGCTGAAACCCTAAACCTTAACCCTGAACCCTACATCCTAAACCCTACATCTTAAACCCTAATACACCTAGCCTTTAAACCCCAAACCCTAAACTCAAACCCTAAACCCTTAGCCCTAAACCTCGAGTTGCCGGAGCTTCGGGCTCAGAATGCGGAACAAGAGAGGGCTCAGGGTTTTTTGGGGCTCTTGGGGTTTAGGGTTCTAGAGGATTTGGGGTGTAGGGCTTGGGGTTCTCGAGGGTTTGCGGGTTGGGTCTCAGGGTTCAGGGTTTAGGGTTCTAGAGGGTTTACTTTTGAAGCTTTAAGGTTCAAGGAAAAGGGGCCTTTCAGGATTTCCGGTCAAGCTTTCAGGTGCCTGGATAGCTGGCATATGAAAGCACCCTATCCGGGACCCTGCGTAGTCAGACCTCCATATTAAGACCTGCAGCTCGCAAAAAAAAACAGCCTCCCAGAACCCAGAGATTCAGCACCAACACGCATGAAGTTGGCAACGAATCTCGCCTTCGGGTTTGGGGTTGAGGATTCAAAACTTCGAGTTTAGGGTTGAGGATTTCGGGATTAGGATTTGAGGTTTCGGGTTGAGTGTGGGATATCGGGATTACAAATCTCATCTCTGATCCCTAGACTCAAGGATGATCCGACGACTGCAGTGCCTCTGCCTCCTCAAACGGACGCCTTGGCACAGGTGGCGCACGGCAGTCGATTAGCTTTTTGCTTAGGCCTGGGGCTTGGGGTTTAGGAGAGGGTTTAAGGCTTAAGGTGTGTTAAAGGTTGTGTGAAGAAGGTTCGGGGCGTTTTGGTGGCTTGGTTTTCGGTTTCGGTATCAGGCTCCCAAACCACAACATCTAATCCCCAAGCCCCGAAAACGAAATCCTGAAATCCTAGACCCTAAACCCCCAATTTCCAAATCCTACACCCCACACCCAGAGCCCACACCCAAAAACGGAGTGCCCAAAACCAAACCAAGCTGGCATTTAAAGGATTTCGGATTGCAGGGACTTTTGGCTTCCCTGGCGTGTTCGGTGTGCCGGAACAGAACATTTCCATAAAGAAAGCCTCCTGGAATGCCCTTTCCCCCAAATCCTGAAAAGAAAGGTCGCTAAGCTGAGGAACCATTGGCCCAGAAACCTTAACCTCTTCCCTAGACAGTGACTGAAGCAGCGGGGCCTACATAATTACCAAGACTACCATTTCCCCCGATTTCCTGATTGTAAGTACACTTTCTTATATTTTGAGATCTTATTTTATTTGTTCAAGCCCTTCATTTCTGCTTCGGGCCTACAGACCTGTTGGAAACTCGAGGGTCGCGAACCCTGAACCCTAAGTTGCTAGGCCCTGGAAGCCTCAACCCTAAGTTCCCGAACCCCTACCTGTAGCCGGAAAGACCTACCCTTTTAGGGTTCCTTACTATGGTTTCTATTTATAGTTCCTTAAAAAGGTAGGTCTTTTCGGCTACAGGTAAGTAATAAGCCCCAAAACCCTTGAATGCCAGAGCCGAATTGGGTCTCCAGGTGGAAGACATTACACTTTAGCTTTTAGCTGGGTGTATCGGGCGTAAGGGTGCGCGATGCTAAAGGTTCAGCGCTCTGGGCGGAATGAGGTGGTGCGAAAATTACTGTTCAGGTCTAGGGTTTGGTGTGGCCTATACTGTAGAGGGATTACGGTGCAAAGCTGCCCTTCCCCCAAAATTCACCCCTAGCCACTTCCAAACCACAACCCACTCTGCCCGATACAAACAAACACCTCACAACCACAACTAGAGCCTAAACCTGCTGCCCCAGGCACAGATTCTTTGACTGGATGTTGAGGAGAGAGCCCTCTTTGTGGCGACAACACCAGCCTTAGCACTTTCGACAAGTTTTGTGGGGGCATACTTGGGTTTCGAAAATTGTTGGGTTGTAATTTTAGGGTCGGAATAATTACCTATAGTACCCACGTTTAACCCTACTGCATCCTACTTATTATGATGGCAAATTACACCCCAAAACCCTGTTCTGATCAGGAAGGCCCCTAGACTGCAGGGATCCCGAGGGTCTTACGACGTCGTCTCTCCTCTTCGCGGATCTCCGGCATAGGGTCAAACCGAAACCTCGAACCTTCATAGCCCGAGCCCTTCACTCGAACCATGAACCCTAAAGCCCTTAAGGTAGTACAGCCGTCATGTTTAGAATCAGGCTACTGGGGTGGCCTATTATACAGGGAACTCCAGAAAGTTGGAATATGGTTTCAGGGTAGGATACCTTATATTTTACCATAAAGGGTTTAGGATAATCATATTCCAACTTTCTGGCTTTTACCCTAAGGGGATAATGCTGTTCATTACTGTTTACTAGACCCGTACTAACTTCACCGCCGTTCTGTAAACGCCTTCACGCTAGGATCCCAATTAAAACCCTTGTTATTGTGGGAAGGGGATGCATTGATCAGGGTTTACATTAACTCTAAACCTTCGAACTTCGAACTTGCTGACCCCTAAACCCTAAGCCCTGAACCCTAAATCCTCAAGTCTAAACTCGAACTCTACACTGCTCTCGGAGCGGAGATGTCGGTCTAGCCCAGCCGCGGCGTCTGCTCGACATCCAGCCCAGGAGTTCCACCTCTGATGTTCATGGATATAAAATTCAGGGTCTTGGGGTTTGGGGTTTAGGGTTTAAGGTTTAGGGTTTAGGGTCAGGATAGGGTTCAGAAGCCAGGGCTCATCCGTTACGGTTTAGCGACTGTCTGAGAGGATCTCTACTACAGATCCCCCCATGTGCAGCCCTCAATGCTTCAGTTTTTTGGTCAGTCACCACCAATGTTTCAAGCTTTTGTTCGGGTTTAGGGCCTAGGGTTTGGGAGCTTGCGGTTTAGGGCCCCGGGTTTTGGAGCTATGGGCTTACGGCCTGAGGTTTTGAGTTTAAGACTGTGGCTGATCAGATCTCGGGAAGCGCTTTGTTTGTGGGACGAGAATTGGTGGACATCGGTGATGGGATGCTATAATAGGAACTTTCTATTTACTAATGTTTTGGGATTCTCTGGGTGGGTGGGATTTTTCTCACTTGCCTTGTCACAAGATGCTGTCGCTTACCCGCTCTTCCCGGCAAGCCCGAAACACTAAACACAAAAATTTGGAGGCTCAACACGGGACGCTGGAGTCCTGTAATCCTGTGAAAACTGGAGCCCAAGCTGGACCCTGATCCTAAACTCGCCGGCTCCTTCAGCCCTTGCGATAATACTATAATATGTATATATATATATATATATGTATATATGAGCCCGATACCTTTAGGGTCTATTTAACTAGTCTGCCATATATACAATATAAGATCCCTATCTAAATCATATGTTCCTACATATTATATTACAAGACTTACGCTCTGAAAAGTTTAGCATTACTTAGGTCTATAATATTTTTATCATTATTGCTGACACCATTGCCACGTTGATACCTGATTAATATACAGTGTCACCTATACAGACAACTGAATTTTAATAATTAATACCTATAACAATATCATTACGAATCCAATGGAACACAAAGCAATAACACTCCAACCAAAATAATTATAGTAAGTATTGCTTACATCCCTGTCGCTGCGAATCCTACCTAGTGCAAGTTAGCATCACTACAATCATATATTAGGCATTGCATATATACTGTCAGTACTAATGCAGTCGAATAGAAATTACAAACAGTGTAACCAAAATCTTTCTTTTTAGTATTGTCTACGCCACTGCGACTATGAATCCTATTCAGCGTAAGTTACCTCCTCTACGTGCAAACTACTTATAATACTTCTTATCTAGGTCCGTGTCATTAGGATGCATATCAAACAGAAAGCAACACCAATACAACCAAAATAATTATAGTAAGTATTGCTTACATCTCTGTCCCTGCGAATCCTACCTAGTGTAAGTTAGCATCACTATAATTATCTATTAGGTATTGCATATACTGTGTCAGTATTAGTGTAGCCGAACAGAAATTACAAACACTGGAACCAAAAATAATTCTACTAAGTATTGTCGACGCCCCTGCAACTAGGAATCCTACATCTCGAGGGAGAGAACTGTGAACTGCCACTAACCATCCAGGCTCCACAAAAAGACAAACACCAACTCGAACAAAAGATTGGCCTAAGCAATCGTGACATTACTAATTGTCGTACCTGCGGTACATCAATCCTGTAATCATTGCTGCCATATTGCAGTTGTCTTTCCTTTGCCTCAGCCTCTGTAAGCCCCTCGCGTCTGCGCTGGCACAGGATACGCAGCGTCTCACTCTTATGCGGGACAGCAGCCGCAAGCAAATTTGCGCCTCCTGTGCCCGTTTCGAGCAGCTTGTAATGCTGCCCGTGCTATCCGAATCGCAGTTGATAACTCATGGCAGCCGAATAACACCAATACAACCAAATTAATTATAGTAAGTATTGCTTACATCTCTGTCCCTGCGAATCCTACCTAGTGTAAGTTAGCATCACTACAATCATAGATTAGGTATTGCATATATAGTGTCAGTACTAATGCAGTCGAACAGAAATTGCAAACGATTTAATCAAAAATAATTATAGTAAGTATTGTCTACGCCCCTGCAACTAGGAATCCTACGTCCCGAGGGAGAGTACTGTGAACTGCCTATAACCATTCAGGCCCCACAAAAAGACATACGCCAACTCAAACAGAAAGATTAGCCGAAGCAATCGTGACAGTACCAATTGTTCTACCTGCGGTACAGCAATCCTGTAATCATTGCTGCCATATTGCCGTCGTATTTCCGTTGCCTCAGCCTCTGTAAGGCTCTCGTGTATGCGGGTTACATATGCTACATATATCTACTGAGGCAAGCCAGGTCTGAACAAACTAGTTCCTTGTCAATAGGGTTTCAATATGAGGAGTGCATGTAATGTATTGGTTCGCCCTGTCCAGGAAGTGAAGAGAAACATTATAGCCCCTGCAATGTGCCAGTTTCTTCTGTCCGTAAGAAGGGCTTTCCGATGTATCAGCTTCATATCAAGAGGGCTTCAGTAGGATGAGTGGGCGTGACAGGTCAAAGGCTTGTAATGTGTTCGTTTGTTCTGTCTGGGGGCTTTCGAATGTATAAGTTCCTCGCCAAAAGAGTTTTGATAGGCGGGAGTGGAGTGACACATTAGAGAGTCTATATTGTGTCAGTTTGTTCTGCCCAGGGGCCTTCCAATATACAGGGTCGCTTCAGTGTATAAGTTCCTTGTCAATAGGTTTCCATGGGGAATGGAGTAACACATTAGAGGGTCTGTAATGTGTCAGGTCGCTGTGTCCAGGAGCCTTCCAAAGTAGGATTTTCCTTGTCAATATACTTTCAATAGAAGGGATGAAGTGACACATTAGAGGGCTTGTAATGTGTTAATTCGTTATGCCCAAGTCAATAGAGTTTGAACACGGGAAGTGGAGTAACACTTTACAGGGCATGTAATGTGCCAATCTGTTATGTCCTGGACTTTCCAGTGTATAAGTTCCCTGTCAGTAGAGGATCAATCGGAGTGGGTGGAGTGACACATTAGGGTGCCTGTAATATGTCAATTTGATATGCCCAGGTACAGGGGCCTGACAGTGTATAAGTTCCTTGTTAGTAGGGTTTCAGTAGGAGAAATGGAGTGACACATTAGAGGGCATGTAATATGTCAATTTGCCCAGTCCAGACCCAGGAAGTGAAGATACACATTATAGTGGGTTAATGTGCCAGATTGTTATGTCCATAAAAAGTGCTTTCCGATGTATCAATTTCTTATCAGTAGGGTTTCAATAGCATAGGTGGAGCGACACATTATACGGCCTGCAGTGTGTCAGTTTATTATGTCCAGGGGTTTTCTAGTGGAAAAGTTCCATTGCAATAGAGGTTCCATAGGAAGGAGTGGAGTGACACATTAGAGGGCCTGTAATGCGTCAGTTTATACTACCCAGAGACCTTCCAATATACAGATGCCCTACAGTGTATAAGTTCCTTGCCTTTAGGGTTTCAATAGGAATATTGACACATTAGAAGGCCTGTAATGTGTCAGTTTGTTTTCCCATGTGCCTTCCAATGTATCTTTATACATATCAGATCTGATGTGATCACAGCATTAGCCAAGAAGGATATCACGTAGTTAATAGTCTTCACGATCTTAACAAAGGCGCAATTATCCGTATCGAAGGTATACATTCCCATGAAAAAATCCCTATAGATCCCTTCACAGATCCCTTGTATGGAGCCCTCATAGACAGCCTCTATAGATTCGTATAGAAACTTTATAGATCCCCTATATAGAGAACTTATAGAAACCCCGTATAGATCAACAAATGGAGTTCTTTGTAGAAAACTTTACAAGATCCCTTACATGGAGCTTTCATAGACAACTGCTATATATTCCTTACCCTTTGTAGAAACCACATGGAAGCCCTGTATAGATCCCTCGTATGGAGCCCTTCTGGAAAACCCTTGCAGATTGCTTATAGAAATCTTATAGATCCTCTATGTAGAGACCTTATAGAAACCCATTAAAGAAAAAACTATAGATCCCTTACAGAGAGACTTTCTAGAAACTCATTATGGATCCCTCATATGGGGCTTTTATAGTAAGCCCGGTTACAAAGTATGTAGATGCGATGTGGTAAGCTATTCTTGATATAGTAGTTAAGATAAATCGATTGTATTATGGTTCGTACAATACCTATGAAATTACCTTTAAGAATAGAGGGAGCGGTATTAAAACCAATGAAACCGGCAACGAAGATGATGACGATGAAGAAGATGATGAAGATGATGGAGATGATGAAGATGATGGAGATGATGAAGATGATGAAGATGATGCAGATGATGAAGATGATGAAGATGATGAAGATGATGGAGAGAGGGTGGGGTGTCCGCAGCCCTGTTGGACCCTAATGGGTTCGTGGTGGGGGTGGGGGTAGTGGGTGGGGTGGGGGAGGGATGTGAATGGGCAGGGGGTTTGTGCTGGCGTGGTGAGGGGTGGGTTTGGGGGAGTGGGTGATAAAGGTGATAAACCGATGATAAATGATAATAGGATGGTGATAACGATGATGGGGAGGAGTAGGTGGTGGGTGGTGGGTAGTGGGTAGTGGTGGCTGGCGGGTGCTGGGTAGTGGTGGGTGGTGGGTGGTGGGTGATGGGTGGTGTGGTGGGTGGTGTGTGGTGGGTGGTGTGTGGTGGTTGGTGGGGAGGGTGTGGGTGGTGGGCGTGGCGGGTGAGGGGTGCCGGGTGGTGGATAATAGGTGGTGGGTGGTGGGTGGTGATGGGGTACGAGGCAAGGGGCTGAGATAGGGGGGTGGGTAGTGAGGTATGAAGGGGGCGGGAGGGTGGAGTGGGGGCAAGGGTGTATAATCCCTGCGAGCCGCGACCGAGCAGAAAGCCTGTAAATGCCGCGTTCAAAAAACGGCCAGGGATCCCACACATCTGCGGGCAAAATCTGGCGGAAGTGATCCGCCACCAAGCAAAAAGCCTGTAAATACCGCATTAAACAAAGGGCCAGGGATTTCACATATCTGTTGGCAAAATCTGACAGAAGTACCGATTGCTCACTTCCGCCAGATTTTGCCACCAGATATGTGAAATCCCTGGCCCTTTGTTTAATGCGGTATTTACAGGCTTTTTGCTCGGTGGCGGATCACTTCCGCCAGATTTTGCCCGCAGATGTGTGGGATCCCTAGCCCTTGAAGTGGTGGGTGAGACACGGCGGTTTGGAGCCTGCTGTCTCTTCCCATTTCCAACACCGATCCTGACGGCGAAGCTGTTCTGTCGAATGACATCTTCGCTAACTCTTTGGTAGGGTGGAGGTGGATTCAGGGGTTGAGGGGCGGTGGGTTTAGGGGGGGGGGCTGGATTCTAAGGCGCGGTTCGATAGCACCAAATTTTCTGAAAGGAGCCCCTTCCGAAAATTTGGTGCTATCGAACCGCGCCTTTTGTAAAACACAGCGGTTCGATAGCACCAAATTTTCGGAAGCGGCTCCTTTCAGAAATTTTGGTGCTATCGAACCGCGCCTTGTAAAACACAGCGGTTCGATAGCACCAAATTTTCGGAAGCGGTTCCTTTCAGACAATTTGGTGCTATCGAACCGCGCCTTGGAAAACACAGCGGTTCGATAGCACCAAATTTTCGGAAGCGGCTCCTTTCAGAAAATTTGGTGCTATCGAACCGCGCCTTGGAAAACACAGCGGTTCGATAGCATCAAATTTTCTCAAAGGAGCCGCTTCCGAAAATTTGGTGCTATCGAACCGCGCCTTTTGTAGAACACAGCGGTTCGATAGCACCAAATTTTCGGAAGCGGCTCCTTTCAGAAACTTTGGTGCTATCGAACCGCGCCTCGTAAAACACAGCGGTTCGATAGCACCAAATTTTCGGAAGCGGCTCCTTTCAGAAAATTTGGTGCTATCGAACCGCGCCTTGGAAAACACAGCGGTTCGATAGCACCAAATTTTCGGAAGCGGCTCCTTTCAGAAAATTTGGTGCTATCGAACCGCGCCTTGGAAAACACAGCGGTTCGATAGCATCAAATTTTCGTGGTGGGTGGGGTGGGGGCGTGGTTGGGTGGTGGCACGGGGCAGGGGGCAGAGGGCAAGGGACAACGGGGCTGGGGAGAGAAGGCGTGAGGAGATGGAGGGGGTGATGGGAGGGGAAGGGGTCCGGGGGGTAGGGGGCTGGATTAGGGGTCGGGTGGTGGGGGGAGGGGTGGGGGCAGGGCAAGGGGGAGGGGAGGCAGGGGGGGGGTGGAAGGGTGAAGGGATGGAGATGGGGCTGGGGAGGTTGGCTTAGGCCCTAAACTCTCAGGTTTGGGAAGGGAGGCAGGGAGTGGGGGAGGGGAGGGACCTTCCTCCCGCCCTGTCTCCTGCATCCCTCCCTCCCTCCCTTGCTCCCTTCCTCCCTCCCTCCCTCCCCTGCCTTCCCCTCACCCTCCCTCTCTTGCCCTTCCTTCCTCCCTTCCTCCCCCCTCCCTCCCTCCCTCCCTCCCCTCCTCCCTCCCTGCCCCCCCCCCTCCCCTCACCCTCCCTTGGAATGAAAAAACAGTTTCCGTCCCTATTTAAATAATTTAAATAAATCAAATAATTTAAATAATTTAAATATTTAAAATATTTTAAAAAAACAAACATTTAAATTATTTAAATTATTTTGTCAAGGAAATAATTTAAATAATTTAAATACGGCTGTCACATTTGGTTAGAAGGTTTCCACCCTATTTAAATAATTTAAATATTTTAAATAATTTAAATAACTTAAATAAGCCGTATTTAATTTATTTAAATTATTTAACTTATCTTGTAAAGGAAATAATTTAAATAATTTAAATATTTAAATCATTTAAAATATTTACATTATTTAGATTATTTAAATTATTTAAATTATTTAAATAGTCCTGGAAAGGTTGTTTTAGGAAAGCTAACTAACTATTTTAATTATTTAATTTTTTTAAATTATTTTGTCAAAGAAATATTTTAAATAATTTAAATAATATAAATACGGCTGTCACATTTGGTTAGAAGGTTTCCACCCTATTTAAATAATTTAAATAATTTAAATATTCTAAATAATTTAGATAATTGAAATAAGCCGTATCTAATTTATTTAAATGATTTAAATTATTTTGTAAAGGAAATATTTTAAATAATTTAAATATTTAAATCATTTAAAATATTTACATTATTTAGATTATTTAAATTATTTAAATTATTTAAATAGTCCTGGAAAGGTTGTTTTAGGAAAGCTAACTAACTATTTAAATTATTTAAATTATTTAAATTATTTTGTCAAAGAAATATTTTAAATAATTAAAATAATTTAAATACGGCTGTCACATTTGGTTAGAAGGTTTCCCCCCTTTTTTAAATAATTTAAATAATTTAAATATTTTAAATAATTTAAAAATTTATTTAAATTTTTTAAATTAGTTTGTAAAGGAAATAATTTAAATAATTTAAATATTTAAATCATTTAAAATATTTAAATTATTTGAATTATTTAAATTATTTAAATTATTTTAAATAGTCCTGGAAAGGTTGCTTTAGGATAGCTAACTAACTATTTAAATTATTTAAATTATTTAAATTATTTTGTCAAGGAAATATTTTAAATAATGCAAAAAATTTAAATACGGCTGCCACATTTGGCTAGAAGGTTTCCCCCCTATTTAAATAATTTAAATAATTTAAATATTTTAAATAATTTAAATAAGCTGTATTCAATGTATTTAAATTATTTAAATTATTTTGTACAGGAAATATTTTAAATAATTTAAATAATTTAAATACGGCTGTCACATTTGGTTAGAAGGTTTCCACCCTATTTAAATAATTTAAATAATTTAAATAATTTAAATATTTTAAATAATTTAAATAAGCTGTATTTCATTTATTTAAATTATTTAAATTATTTTGTAAAGGAAATAATTTAAATAATTTAAATATCTAAAATATGTAATTTATTTAAATTATTTAAATTATTTAAATTATTTAAATTATTTAAACTATGTAAATTATTTAAATAGTCCTGGAAAGGTTGTTTTAGGATAGCTAACTAACTATTCAAAGTATTTAAATTATTTAGATTATTTTTTAACGGAAATAATTTAAATAATTTAAACAATTTAATTAGGCTGTATTTAATTTATTTAGATTATTTAAATCATTTTTTACAGGAAATAATTTATATAATTTACATTATTAAATTATTTGAAAAAATTTCTTTTGAAACATATTTTAAATAATTTAAATATTTTAAATAAGCCGAATTTAATTTATTTAGATTATTTAAATTATTTTGTAAAGGAAATAATTTAAACAATATAAATATTTAAACTATTTAAAATATTTAAATTATTTAAAATGTTTAATTTCATATTCATATATATAATTAAATGAATGCGTCAAATGGACCCTAAAGGAGCCTCTCTCTCATATATATATATATATATATACATATGTATATATATATATATATGAAGAGAAAGAGAGAGAGAGAGAGAGAGAGAGAGAGAGAGAGAGAGAGAGAGAGAGAGAGAGCGAGACAGAGAGAGAGAGAGAGAGAAAGAGAGAGAGAGAGAGAGAGAGAGAGAGAGAGAGCGAGCGAGCGAGCGAGCGAGCGAGCGAGCGAGGGAGGGAGGGAGGGAGGGAGGGAGGGAGGGAGAGTGAATAAAAAATACACACACACACACAGACACACAAAACTTTTGCTGCACTTCTCGCAAAAGGTGCCTTTTGCAATTTAGGCTTGCGTAGCTTAGGAGCTAGGCCTCAAGGTTTTGGTAGCTTAGGAACTTTTGCATTGAGGGGTTCATGTCATTCAGAATAATATAGGGCTCTGGGGTATATGCAGCTTGCTGTCTGGAGGATGGGGTTGATAGTCGATAGTCCTCCAAGCCGGAAACACCCAAAAAAAACACTGCAACTGTAAGCATCTTAAACATACCCCTGTTCAGCTCTAACCTCCGCACCCTAAACCCTAAACGGTAAACTTCAGCTCTCTGAAAGCAAAAGGAACACCATTGCCCCAATTTCCCCTGGCGGCCACGAAGCCTTTTCGCCGTTGAGATCCTCAGCAACAGACACAGGGAATAATTCTTGGCGGCTGCATAGATACATTGGTACACACTTCTGATGCACATGGACACCCTGGCAGACCTAGCATGGCCAACCCCTTCAAAATGCCCACCGCTCACCAAGAGTATGCTCAATGCCCACCCGGCGCAGCTCAACGCGTTTCTAGTGCCCGCCGCTCAGCCCCTCCCAGATACCTGTTTGCCAGATTCTCTAATCCTTTTCGCGCGGATTGCGATCTGTGTGCCAGATTCTCTAGTCAGCGACTTGCTGTCTATTTGCTAGATTGTCTAATCACTTTCACGCTTTTTGCAACTTGTTTGTCAGATTCTCTAGTCCTTTTGGATGCAGATTCTTTGGTCCCTTTCGAGCGGCCTGCTACCTGCTTGTCACATTTTCTAGTCCCTTTCGAGCGGTTGACTACCTGCTTGTCAGATTCTCTAGCCCCTTTCGAGCGGCTTGCTACCTGTATGTCAGACTCTCCAGTCCCTTTCGAGCGGCTTGCCACCTGTTTGTCAGATTGCCCTTTCTGAGCGGATTGCTAAGCGGTTTGCTACCTGTTTGTCAGATTTTCTAGTCCCTTTCGAGCGGGTTGCTACCTGTCTGTCAAGTTCTCTAGTCCCTTTTAAGCAATTTGCTAGCTGCTTGTCAGACTCCCTAAACCCCTTCGAGCGGTTTGCTACCTGCTTGCCAGAATCTCTAGTCCCTGTCGAGCGGTTTGCTACCTGCTTGTCAAATTCTCTAGTCCCTTGCGAGCGGTTTGCTACCTGTTTGTCAGATTCTCTAGCCCCTATCGAGCGGTTGCTTCCTTGTCAGATTCTCTAGGCTTTCGAACGGTTTGCTACCTGTTTGTCAGGTTCTCTAGTCCCTTTTCAGCGCTTGTCCCTTTCGAGCCGTTTGCTACCTGCTTGTCAGATTCTATAGTGTTTTTGCGGCGGTCCGCTGCCTGCTTGTCAGAGTCTCCAATCCCTCTCTCAAACGGTTCGCTACCTGTTTGTCAGATTCTCTAGTCCCTTTCGAGCGGTTTGCTACCGTTTTGTTAGATTCTCTAGTCCCGTTACAGCCGGTTGCTACCTGATTGTCGTTTGTCACGGGTTTGCTCCTGCCTGTCAGATTCTCTAGTCCCTTTCGTGCGGTTTGCGACCTGTTTGTCAGATTCTCTCGCCCCATTCGCGCGGTGTGTTACCTGTTTGTCAGATTCTCTAGTCCCTTTCGAGCGGGTTGCTACCTGCTTGTCAGATTCTCGAGTCCCTTTCGAGCGGTTTGCTCCCTGCTTGTCTAGTTCTCTAGCCCCGTTCGAGCGGTTGCTACCTGTTGTCAGACCCTCCAGTCCCTTGCCAGCGGTTTGCTACCTGTTTGTCAGATTCTCTGGTCCCTGTTGGGCGGTTTAGCAAAGCGCTCGAAGAGGACTAGAGAAGAGGACATACAGGTAGCAAAACCGCTCGAACGGGATGAGAGAATGTAGCAAACCGCTCGAAAGGGGCTAGAGAACAGCTAGCAAACTGCTCGAATGGGACGAGAGAATCTAACAAAAACTCGCAAACCACTCGAAGGGGGCTAGAGAATCTGACAGCCGGGGAAGCAAGCCGCTCGAAAGTTACTAGAGAGTCTGACAAACAGGTAGCAAGCCGCTCGAAAAGGGACTAGAGATTTTGACAAGCAGGTAGCAGACCGGCTCGAACGGGACTGGAGAATTTGAGAAACAGGTCGCAAAACGCTCGAAAAGGTCTGGAAACTTTGACAAGCAGGCAGCAAACCGCTCGCAAGGGACTATTTTGTAGAGTAGCGGTAGGTGAATAATTGAACTCGAGCCAAATGCATGCCCTTTGCCCCCCGGACCTCCCAGCGCCGGCTGCCCACCACTTTTCTTGACCAGCGACCGCGTAGAGTAGTGGCAGTTGAATAATTTAATTCGAGCCCTTAGCGCCTGTCGTGCAGAACCGCGCAGAGTCGTGGTAGTTGCGTGATTTAATTCGAGCCCAATGCATCCTCCGGACCCTCCAGCGCCCGCTGCCCGGCCTTTTCTTGTCCAGCGACCGTGTAGCGTAGTAGTAACTGAGGCGCTTTAGTTTACACTTGGCCAACTTAGTTATTCACTGGGCCTGTTTGTCACGAGGGGCAGCAGATGTGCGTGCGAGCGTCGCGCAGCTTAATTACTTCGACACATACTCTGACTAAGAGCCCATGCAGCACGTAAGTCGGCACGCTTCCGCAGCGTCGGGAAAATTTGTGTTCGACGGCCGGCAGCCATTAAATATGGGTACGTATGTAAGCATTACGTAGGTATGTATGTGTGTATATATATACACATATATGCGTGTGTATGTGTGTATAAATATATACTCGTATACATACACTGCAACATACGCTATTTCCTATAATATCCTTTGAGATGCTACAACACACAATAGAATATCCTCATGCCTGTCTTGCAACCGCCAAGGCCCCCGCAACGAACCCTCCAGAGGCTGATCAGGGTTTAAGGTTCATGGTTTGGGGTCAGTGGCTAGGGTTTTTTTTTTTTTGAACCCTCTTTTCCTTCCGCCCTGTTGGTTGGTTAGAGTGGCTAGGGTTTTCAGGTTTAGGATTTTGGTTTAGGGTGTAGGGTTTTGTTCAGGGTCTTTCAGGCTCCAGGCTGCAGTTTGGGGCTTTTTAGGGTTTAGGGTTTGGTATTACCTACTATTTGCTTAAGAACCCCCAAAAAAATATTAAATTATAATCCCTATATTATCCCTATAAGGAATATATTTTTTATTTTTTTGGGGGGTTCTTAAGCAAATCGTAATTACGGACCTCAATCTTCGAACAATACAACTGCGGAGCAGCCAGGAAGCAGGTCTGCTCGCTAAGTCAACGAGCTCTGCGATGCTGCCCGCCGACAGCGTGGGTGGCATGGCTGTGGCAGGAAGGGGTACTATAGCCTTCATGAAAAAACTTGGGTTTTGGGGTATCATACAATGTGGTTGTACTAAGAAACCCTCGGGAGTAATGATGCGCAGTAAGTATGGCGAGGGTGGGAGGGTAGAGGATGTTCGGGTTTTCGGACTTGGGGCTTAAGATGGCTCAAGCAGTGTACGGTTCAGAGTCCAGTGGCGTGGGGCTTTGGTGTATGCAAGTCTCTGGGCTTAGGGTTCGAGGTTTCGGTGTTAGGGTCTCCATGTAACTGCGGAGTTAAAACCAAGCGTAGAGTGAGAAAGGATGCACCCTCTCCTCAATGGACTTTATATGGGAGTTTCCGAAAATGGGGGACCCTAATATGGAACCCCAAATAGTAGGATCCTTATTTTAAGGACCCCAAAAGAAGGTACCCCTAATTTTCGGAAACTCCTACATGAAGCGCTCGCTGGGCCTTGGGTTGCCAATGCGAGGCAGAGGATGCGAGTCAACACCGTGCCCCACTTGGAAGGGCAGGGGACTTAGTAAGTAGGTTTTAAGTAGAGTTATAAGTACCCTAAATGGAGTTACCCCAATCATAACCCTACTTATAAGCTACTTACTAAGTCCCCTGCCCTTCCAAGCAGACAACCCACCATTTACCACGAAGCCCAAAACAGCGTCCCCGTAAACTCTTGGCGCAAGCGGTCGACACCGCGAGAGAGCAGAGTGCTTGTACGGGTCAGTTCTAGCTGAGCTCCACTGCAGTTTCACACCTCATACAAGGTCCTCAAAATTGCCAGTGTTGCTGGTATATTACAAGCTGAGGGCATGCTATGACTGCTTGCTATTTGTTACGAACCTGCTGGTTTTGATCTTGCGCTTTGTCTGCCTCTTGAAGCTCCAAAGTCCAGATGTAGACGCAGGTTTAAACAAACTCTCCATTCTTTCTGGGGCAACAAGAGGATCCCTCGCAGAATCTCTTTCAAGACAGGGGGGGCTTTCTTAAGAAGGATTTCCATTTACCCTGAACCCCGAACCTGGTTTGGGGCTTTTTTGGCTTAGGGTTTAAGGTGATAAAAGTAGCAGTATTATGTTCAGGCTGCTGGGTGGCTTGAGCCTCACATTTACATCTTCCCGGATGCAGCTTCTAGCCCTACGGATATACAAGAATAATGATGACAACAAGTATGATGATACTAATGTTACTAATAACGATGAACAACATAACCGTTATAATACTGATGATAAACAATATGATGATAAAATGATGATAACAACAAGAGTGCCAAAAACAACAAGAGAAATTAAACTCTACTTCGAAATTTCTGTACCTGTTTTGCTTGCAAGGTCATTTCTCCGCTCTAAACTCACTCACGCACTCACTCCCGCGACGCTCTTCGAGTCGCACTTGCAAAAACTACAGCCTAAATCCTAAAGCCTGCCAACCACATAAAACTCTTCGGGGAGCTCTTAGCAAGAGGGTTTAGGGTTTAGGGTTTAGCAAGACCTTCCAATCCGGCTGGCACAATTTTTTGCTTGAGCAGCACGACGAAGTCCAGCGTGGACCCAAACAGGCTGAGCCTGCCCAGGATCCGGGGGCTTGAGCTAGTCTTGATTGGTGTAAAATTTAGGTGCCTGAATGATGAGAATATGGATGAATACGGTTTGAGGGTGTAGTCTGCTATAGTTATATGGGCACTCAACATTACCCGTAGTAAACACTATCGGCAAACATCACACGGTTGAGGGTTTAGACATTCAGGATTCACCGTTCAAGGGTTTACGGTTTCACTTTCAGAACCTTAGGGTTTGGCTTTCCGGTTGAAGAGTTTCGGGTTTACGAAGTTAATTTGCTTTTTGGCTCCCCGCGTCATATCGAGGAGAGTTTGGGGTTAAGGGTGTATGTGTGTGTATGTGTATATATATATTATATATATATATATACATACTATATATATATACTATGATATACCTTAATATACACCATAATACTACTACAATGGACTACAGACTATGCTATACCCGGCACATACTATCGTAGTTATTCAGGCCTCTATTCTGCACTTACTCCGCCAGCCTCATGGCACCGCGTCCACGAAGGCTGCGCCTGGCGGTTTTGAGTTTGGGAGGTATAAGAGTCTTTAGTGATTGGAAGAATGTTTCAGTCGGCTTTGCAGGAGTTCGTGGAGACTCTAGCGGATGATAAAAGGGTCGCGAAATTAGAACAGGGCTTTGGTGTCGGCTTGGTATCTATGTCTTGACAGTATACAAAGACTGCGGGATGTTACTAGTACTACTTCTGTGTGAACCTCCACAGTATTGTGGCTGTGGTTGTCGTCCAGAGATTATGATTACGCGTGAAGTCTGCATGATCACTATGCTGGACTTATGCTGGATCTAAACCAACACCCTACACCTAAATCCTGACCTTATCTAACCCTTCAACCCCTAAACCAAAGCCCGTTTCAGCTCAAGGGGTTGAGGTTGCAGGACTGTTTGGGCCATGATCGCTTATGATTCAGGCTTTGGGATTGAGGGAGATTCTGCACCCTTCAGAAAACATTGCTAAAAACCCTCAAGCATGCTAAAACACACTAAAGCAAGATATCCGCAACGCAAGAGCTGAAGCCTTGAGCCTGTACGACCCATGAACCAGGATAGCGGTTCAGGGTTTAGCCTTACCTATGAAAGCCCCAGCCTTCAAAAACAAACTCCACAAGGTTAACAAACTGTAAAAGAAAACCTCAGCAAACCAGAGCCAGAGACTCTACAGCGGGAGCACCAAACGTAAAGCCCCTAAAGCCAAATTTTCGTGCAATCCTGAGACACTCTAGCCGCCTTCATTCTCAATTCTTTCCCTTACGCAGATACTCCGAGAGATGATTAACGATGAAAGTTTCTGTCTGAATACCCGAAGGCCCGAGTATTAACTCCCAAGTTTCTCAGATCAGAGCCCCAGCAATACATATGAATGAGCGTGAGCCGTGATTGACTCCTATTGCTAAACAACAGTATCCCAATGTTTAGCCGTGACATTAGCCCTTACATTGGCCCAATGGTGACAATAGTACTCTGTTTCATTTTCACACGAAAAAGATGCCTTATAGATCTACGTAGTTCGTACGGAATAAATGCATCCCATATTAATACCCATATCGACCTGCAGGTTAATACAATCATATACATCAGCCTGATTGGCCCCCCGATCGTAAGGATATTGAAGCCCCCTTGACAGCCCCAGCACTGGATCTGACTCCAACATGTACCTTACTCGCAAACTTATTAAGATCGATCTTAAGATGACCCATAAGCTGTTCGCCTTGGTAGCTTTCGTACTGTACCGGATGCTTCCCTCAACAGCAACCCGCCTTAGGACAAACCCAGACCATGCATTGGCTTCACCAACCGGTTCATTAATCCAGATGTAGCTGTAGCTGTGGAATCCCTGGCATGAGCATTCGAGAGCCCGAAGTTTAAAGCCATGGCATCCCCAATTCGAGCTCCTGTCATACTCATACAAGTAAGCTAATTTTTCCCCTATTAAACTACACAAAACGAATATCACTAAGAACCACGATCCTTGCTGTCTTCGCTCTGGTCTTGCCCAAATGATGGCCTTTAGATTCTGTGCGATTATAAAGCCATCTGTCTGTTTACATCAACATTGAAAAATTGTAAATGGCACGCCCCTTTCACGCTATTGTATGATCATGTCGGACTTGCTGCCGGGCTTGCCCGTATGCGTGTATGGACATTTATGTGTATGCACATACGATCTCTAAGGTTAAACGTGTACTAGATACCAACATAATGACGAGGATCGTTAACTGACTCCTGATTCCAAGCAACATCAACCTCAACCCTATCCTTGGCATTCGCAGTTATGGTGACCGTGCAGCCCAAGGTCATCTATAGTAGTCTTTGTACCACCCATAACCTGACCCAAATGTTTCTTTCTTGGATTTGCAACCATAGTCAGCGGGAAGAAATCGTAGTGGTAGCTGTGAGAACCCCGAAATCCTGGGTCCTGGCTTGCGTTAAGCTTACGATACTGGCTTTCTATTGACCCAAAAACTGATCCGAATGATGTCCTGGTTATTACCCAATTTGTTGCACAGTACTAACGCCAAGCGGACTCGACTCGCAGTAGTGATGACACTGGAACCTTATTGACAACACTAATTCGTAACGTGCACAAACAACAAATGAAACGCACACTCTTTGCTAGGAAAAGCTTGGTCTTGGAGTGAAATACCAAAATTTCCTACGAAAAAATGGTTTTGGCATGGACAACGCATTATTTCCTAGGAAAGATGCTGTTTTGGACCGGCAAACGAACGTTTTGCTAGACAGAACCCCAAAAAACAGAAATGCCAAACGCCAAAAACGTTGTTTTTGGGTTTTCCCTAGGAAAAAATTGGTGTTGGGCCGAGAAACTAACTTTTCCCGAGGAAAAAATGGTTTTGTGCCGAAAACCAATTTTTCCCTAGCACAACAAAAAAGTTTTGGGCCGAAAGACACACTTTTGCCTCGCAAAAAAATGGTTTGGGGCCGAAAAACCAACTTTTCCCTCGCAAAAAGATGGTTTTGGGCCGAAAAACCCAGCTTTCCCCCAGCAAAAAGATTGTTTTGGGCCGAAAACCAACTTTTTCCTTGGCAAAAAGACCAACCTTTTCCTAGAAAAAACCCAAACAACAATCCTTTTGGAGTGGATAGTTTCCCAAAAGAGTGCTTTTTCTTTGCTTTTTGAGTTTCCCTCGGAAAACATTGGTTTTCCTGTCCAAAACTATCTTTTCCTAGAAAATGGTTGGTTTTTCCACTCGAAAACCATGTTTTTCGTAGGGAAAACAAAAAACCTTTTGAGAGTTTGGCCGCATAATATCTTCAAAGATTGCTTTTTTGCTTTCTTTAGGGAAAGTTTGTTTTTGATTGAAAGAGCACAGTGTTACCGTTGAGTGCGTGCTCACGTCGAACCAATGTGGAACAGCACAGTGTTGCCGTTGACAGCGTGCTCACG